TGCCAGACGGCCCACAGCTGCCAGACGGCCCACAGCTGCCAGACGGCCCACAGCTGCCAGACGGCCCACAGCTGCCTGACGGTCCACAGCTGCCAGACGGCCCACAGCTGCCTGACGGCCCACAGCTGCTAGACGGTCCACAGCTGCCAGACGGCCCACAGCTGCCAGACGGCCCACAGCTGCCAGACGGCCCACAGCTGCCAGACGGCCCACAGCTGCCAGACGGCCCACAGGTGCCAGACGGCCCACAGGTGCCAGACGGCCCACAGGTGCCAGACGGCCCACAGCTGCCAGACGGCCCACAACTGCCAGACGGCCCACAACTGCCAGACGGCCCACAGGTGCCAGACGACCCACAGCTGCCAGACGGCCCACAGCTGCCAGATGGCCCACAGCTGCCTACCTAAGAGTGCGGCTGTGGGACCAATGAGAACTATAAACGCCTCATCGTGGGTTTCCGTCTCGTAATTTGCTCCAATAATATTTTCTCGTGATAATGGTAATGATATTCGCACATTTGAGTGGCTCGTGTAACTATTAATAACCTTTATGCAAATGACAGTGTGTGTGTGTGTGGACGCTTGGACGCCTTTTTTTGTTTTCGGAAGGAAAATAATTACTTCATTTTCATAACTGTATGCTAAATTGAACAGTCTCATTATATAACTCAAAGACCGGTTCATATAATCAACACGGTTCATATAATTTATTGTTTGAACAAATTGGAAGATTCGGTGTTGGAAATGTTTGATCCTAATGTGTCTAGGAAAGGATAGTTTCTGTCACATTAATAGATGTTTGCTGCTTTTAAGTTAAAAAAAAATGGCCTCTTGTCATGTCAAGTTAATTTTTTTATTCTTATCATGTCTAAAGAATTTTCATGTCATAATGTTCAGCCGAGGGCTCACTACAGTCTCTTAAACTATCCATCCTGTGTGTTGTGGTCGTGGGGAGGGGGGGGGGGGATGGGGAGGGGGGTCGTTAGGGTGATCGTAGTGGGACGGGTCGTAAAGACTGAGGTCATAGGGGGGGGGGGTCGTGGAGGAATGGGTCGTGGGAGGTCTCTGATATAAGGGAGGAAGTTCCTGACGTCATCAGATCTCTGACAAATGACTTCAAATAATTAGTGATACGATGCAGAATTTAAGGTCAACTCTGAACAAGCACTAACAGTGCAACTGGTCGTCGGGTTAGAAGCCGTTGCGCGCCACGCATCTATACCACAATCTATGTAAGAGTGTGCATTAGAAAAGATCATTGTGTTTAGGCTGCGCCCGTCTTTCTATGGTCAACTGTGAATGATTCTACGTTGGTCGAGTTTGTTTTGCCCGCTGGGAGGGTGAATGGTAGGGAGGCAGACTGAGAGGTAAGGACGGAGGGAGGGAGAATACAAGAAGAGAGAGAGAGAGAGAGAGAGAGAGAGAGAGAGAGAGAGAGAGAGAGAGAGAGAGAGAGAGAGAGAGAGAGAGAGAGAGAGAGAGAGAGAGAGAGAGACAGAGAGAGACAGAGAGGGAGAGAGAGACTCCCCGAGCCCAACCGGGTCTTTGTGTGTACTCGCCTAGTTGTGCTTGCGGGGGTGTTGAGCTCTGGGGCTCTATCATATCCTCACTTGAAACTGTGTATGGAGTCAGCCTCCAACACATCACTTCCTAATGCATTCCATTTGTCTACTACTCTGACACTGAAAAATTCTTTCTAGTGTCTCTATGGCTCATTTGGGCATTCAATTTCCACCTGTGTCCCCTAGTGCGTGTGCCTCTAGTGTTAAATAATCTGTCTATCTACCCCTATCAATTCCTCTGAGAATCTTGTATGTAATGATCATGTCCCCCCCTAACTCTTCTGTCTCCCAATGACGTGAGGTTGGTGTGTGTGTGTGTGTTGTTTGTGTGAGTTTGGCTGGTTGTAGTAGAGGTTAATCCCCAAGCCCCCACCAGACCACTGGGGAGTTATTGATTTAGGTCTTGTGTGTGTGTGTGTGTGTGTGTGTGTGTGTGTGTATGTGTGTGTGTGTGTGTGTGTGTGTGTGTGTGTGTGTGTGTGTGTGTGTGTGTGTGTGTGTGTGTGTGTGTATGTGTATGTGTGTGTGTGTGTGTGTGTGTGTGTGTGTGTGTGTGTGTGTGTGTGTGTGTGTGTGTGTGTGTATTCACCTAGTTGCGTTTGCTGGGGTTGAGCTTTGCTCTTTCGGCCCACCTCTCAACTGTTACTAACTACTAATTAACTAATTCCCCCCCCCTCCTCCCCCCAAACACACACAGGAAGCAGCTCCGTAACAGCTGTCTAACTCCCAGGTACCTATTTACTGTAAGGTAACAGGGGCATTCAGGGTGAAAGAAACTTTGTCTGTTTGTTTCTGCCTGGTCCGGGAATCGAACCCGGGCCACAGAATTACGAGGATCAGGATCAGGATCGACATATAGGTCGTGGACCCCTCCTTTCTAGCCTTCGGTTGTATATTGCAATGTTTCTTACCTATTTCCTTATTATATCATTTTAAAATTGTGAATGAAGTTCACTTCTACAGTGTTCTACTTTTTCCTGCAATTGTGAGGCTAAAAGGAAACTTTCTAACATCTCGGTAGCTCATCTGTTTCTCAAACATCAACTCATTCCCTCATGTTCTGTTGTTATTCAAACATATCCTCTTTTTTCTAGTCTCAATTCCTTTAAGTTTCTTATAGCTGTATCGTCTCCCCCCTCTCTCTCTCTCTCTTCCCTCTTTCCTAGCGATGTCAGGTCTAGTTCTTTCAGTTCTTTCAGGATGGTGTTGCGGTGTTGAGAATGATCCACAACACCATCCTGAATCACCAAGACATAGTGAATGATACGATAATAATCACACACACCGACGACGCAGGAGGCTTCGTATGCTTGAGGCTGTGTTCATTCGGGAGCTGACACCAGTCATCAACATCCAGAGGAATTCGACTTCGAGCATGCAACTGTTCGATGGTCCTCCATTGACCCAAAGGGAAGATGTAAGACCTGGCGGACAGCTAGAAGCCGGAGTTAGGGAACAATCCCCTCACCCTATCCTTCGCCGCTCCCTACGATTAAGGAAGTTAGGTGAATCGTAGAGTGAGGTGAACCCCACACTTATAAATATCTAGATTTCTCCTTGTCTTTTTTTTACGGGCTATTCATGCCCGTGCCACCTCATGGGTGATTTAATCTTAATCAATCAATCTTGTCCTTTGAAAGCAGAGGCGCCACTATTGCACTACTTACTGGAATGTGAAGCTACTGAAGCCCTGCGCATCAAGCTAAACATTAATCCAACGACAGCAGTTGCATTAGATGCACATTCCCCAGCGACTACAATGTTTAGAAAAGTCGTTAAAGAATGGGACTCTCTAGTGAACATTCTGCACCTACATCCGCCACCAAGATAATGTTATTAAAACACGACTAAAACAGAAGCGAAAAACAAATAGGGAAAAAGGAGGAAACCCCACCTCCATTTAAAACTTTGACCCAAATATCAGAGTAACAAGGTTATCGCGAATACCCGAACTCAATAACGGGCTCAACATCGGAAATTTGACTCCTGAACATCATTTTTGAGCCGAATTCTGACTCTTTGCACCTATTTTCAGTTTCAAATTACGACTTTTTATGCCGAAAATATGCCAATTACTGAAAACGGTGATGGGTCATATTTTGCCCAAACGCCCCTGCAGTTTTCAAAATATCTGAAATGTCGAAAATTTGACTCCTGAGCGTCATTTATATATATATATATATATATGCAGAATAACCACATATGAAAAATAGAAAATGCTTAACGCGTTTTCGGCTAATTCGCCTTCATCAGAGCAAAGTAGAATCAATTCTACTTTGTAGAATCTGATTCTACTTTGCTCTGATGAAGGCGAATTAGCCGAAAACGCGTTAAGCATTTTCTATTTTTCATATGTGGTTATTCTGCATACTTGGATCAGTGTTTTTGTGATCATTGTTGCATATATATATATATATATATATATATATATATATATATATATATATATATATATATATATATATATATATATATATATATATATATATATATATATGCCGTACCTAGTAGCCAGAACTCACTTCTCAGCCTACTATGCAAGGCCCGATTTGCCTAATAAGCCAAGTTTTCATGAATTAATTGTTTTTCGACTACCTAGCCTAACTTTTTCGGCTACCAAACCTAACCTAATCTATAAAGATAGGTTAGGTTAGGTAGGGTTGGTTAGGGTCGGTCATATATCTACGTTAATTTTAACTTCAATAAAAAGAAATTGACCAAATTCATAATGAAATGGGTAGCTTTATCATTTCATGAGAAAAAATTAGAGAAAATATATTAATTCAGGAAAACTTGGCTTATTAGGCAAATCGGGCCTTGCATAGTAGGCCGAGAAGTGCATTCTGGCTACTAGGTACGACATATATATATATATATATATATATATATATATATATATATATATATATATATATATATCTATATATATATATATATCTATATATATATATATATATATATATATATATGATATACATATACATACACACACACACACACACACACTCACACACAAAAAACAAGATTCAATGCTGGACTGAGAACAGGAGATGCTTTTTCATCCATAGGAGTATTAACCCATGGAACTGCTACCCGGCGAAAGCGTTATTGCCAAAATTCGGTTGGGTTTTAAAGTACAGCTGGAAAATATCATCGGGGCAAATGGGGGGACCTTCGACAAGCCGCCGGCTTCCTGTCCTCCTCGAGGCCACAAGTGTTAGTGGCTCTAAATAAATTAACATGATTTTCATAGTTTATCAAAAACCAACATCAGCAAAAATATCATGAGACATTTAAAGTGTCGAAAATTATAAGGATTTCTATTTAGATCGTGTTCTTTTTCTTCAATGTGTAGGTAATTGTATGTAATCTTAAAAATATAATATACTACTCTTTTACGTTATTTATACTTGAGATGTATGGACCTACACCTGAAAAGAACCAACGGAGCAGTTCCGTCGTTTTGTTTACAAGAGCTTCGCGCCAAATAGAAGATAATCGGCAGCGAGTTAGTGTTGTGAACATTTCTAGTCTCAGTGGTGTTGGTAGGTCAATAATGTATATAAAATGTTATATAGATCTCATTTTGAATAGAGAAGAATCATTTACAGTTTTCATTGTCGGGATAAATTAATTCTATCTATTTCTCCCGATTCTGTCTGACACTACAATAAATTCCTCCCTCGGCAAATTTTGTTTGAAATTAAACATGGGTATAAAGCAAAATGAATATGTTATGCACCATTTTGGGAAGTGGGCCTTAGGTTGTATTGGAAATATGCAATACTTTTTGAGAGTTGACTTGAGAAGGGTTTGAATCATGTACCCTTATCCTACTGAAGAGTTGTGGACATGAATAGATTATGAAGCATTTTGGAACAAATACAGAAACTACATTCAAACAAGCGCTCAATTGGTTAACTTATTTGGTTGGGTGGCCAACTCTCCTCACTATTTTCCTCTCTGTTTACTCTTTTTTCATCCTTGAAATAAATGTGATTTCTATACAATATCTAAACGTACCATGTCTGGCCTGACAGCTGAGTGGATAGCTCTTTGGATTCGTAGTTCTGAGGTTCTGGGTTCCACCCCCGGTGGAGGTGGAAGCAAATGGGCAGTTTCTTTCACCATGGTGCTCTGTTCACCTAACAGTAAATAGGTGCCTGGGAATTAGACAGCTGCTACAGGCTGCTTCCTGGTCCCTTTTTCCTTGGCAGGGCACTGGTGCATTATCGACACTTCACTCATCTGCCATTGTTAGTGGTATTTTCCTTGATAAAGTCCAAAGACACTGGCTTGTCTGGACACGAGAAAACTGTTGACTGAGGCAACATCGGTCTCCACAGATACAGGTCATTGTACATATGACGGTTCACCTTTGTACTTTAAAATCTTCCTAACCCAACCGAGCCTAACGCAGTATAATCTAAGCTAATACCAAACGATACATATACAGTTTTGACAGTCGGAAAATGAGCTGTCAAAAAGTATGATTTGACCGTACCCCATCATTCCTGGTAGACTGAACATTTTTGTACAATACTCAAACATGTGGCTGCTGTGCGGACAGTTTAGGGTGTTTGTCATAATACTTAGGATGCTCTGGTAGGTTTTGTTAGTGATTTTATGCATGAAGTGGGGACCTTGAGGGGCTGTCCATATGGACAAATGTTTATAAAAAGAATGCTCACAAAACAAGGACAGTCTGTATTCTAAAAAGCATGCTGGGCATTCTCTGATTTAGGGTGCTTTATAATGAAGTGTGGAACATAACCCAGCCTTAAAATTTCCAATTCATAGCTCATCAACCCGTACCAGTTCTCTGATAGCCCCATTGATTACTCAGTAGATACATACATACATACATAGTGTAATTAGAATAATAATGTACTGCATTCAAGCACAGATTTTCTTGAGAGATACAAGTGAAAAATATCAAAAGCTATAATAACCAATTAGGTTCAGCAGCTCAGGTGGTGCTTAAAGCAGTATTGCCCATATTTTTAGGTTTTCGTTGTCCAGCCAAATTGGAGTACAAATGAATACAGTATTATGTCTTGGAACGATGCCAAGCTTGAATGCAGCGTTATCAAATTAAGTGCTCATTATCTATGACATTAATTGAAGGTATCTGGTTGTTAAGCTAATATATTTGTTCCTTGTTTGTGTTCATTGCTGCTTATGTTTTCCATTGGTGAGGTGCAGTGGATGTGTTAACGTGTAAATGTACAATGGTACATTTAAGCACCATTAAGTCTGGTTAGTAACTGGTTGAGTGACAACACAGACTGTCGCCGCCGCCTTTTCTAGAGGACCTACCTATATTTGTTCCTTGTTTGTGTTCATTGCTGCTTATGTTTTCCATTGGTGAGGTGCAGTGGATGTGTTAACGTGTAAATGTACAATGGTACATTTAAGCACCATTAAGTCTGGTTAGTAACTGGTTGAGTGACAACACAGACTGTCGCCGCCGCCTTTTCTAGAGGACCTACCTTGAGGTGGTTACCTTGAGGTGTTTTCGGGACTTAGCGTCCCCGAGGCCCGGTCGTCGACCAGGCCTCCGCTCCAGGCGGTCGCCACAGGGGACCACTATAAGTCTTGCTACACTTCCTGTCCCCAACAATGGTGTTCTGTACCAATAGCTTTCTTTGCTTCATTTCATCATGAGATAACAACACTCGATTCCATTCTTTTTGTTCCCATTAGTCAATATTTATTTTGCAATATGTAATATTCATTAGGTCCTTTGCTGCAAAGTTATTTATTTATTTATTTATTCCAGGAAAGCGTCTATGACCGACATTGCTGGTATGGAGCTTGAAACTGATATCAGAGTGAACTTGGAATCTAGTGATACATTGCAACAAAACAAAGAAGCTGAAAGTCTCAATAATTCAGAGGATGAAGGAATTTGTGTATCTCACAATCTTAGCCTTACTGGTGTCTCAGAAGCACAGAGTCAGCCGAAGGCAATATGTACCAGTGAAGTGAATGAGGAAAACCAACACCTTTCAGGGGATGATGATAATGTTGGTAAACGTATGATTGTTATGTCTGATGATGATAGTGATGACGATTATGTAAATAAAAGTTTGTCAGTCGGGAGAAGACGGCCGGCAATTCTGTCAGATGATGAGGATTTTAGCCAGCCAAAAATACCCGTTAGTAAATTGCCTGTAAGCAGTGATGATGATGACGAGAGTGAAGATAACATTAAAAATACTAAGAAAAGGATTGTCCATAGATCATATTCAGAGAGTGATGATGATACTGCAATGTTTCTTACGAAGAACCCTTCGCAACACTCGCTGGAAGTGCCGAAGGTGCAGTATTTTTGTGGTGTAAATGCTAGATACAGTAAAATTTATGTCATAATTATTGTACTGTAAATATTTAGATAAGATATTTATTCAGGTAAAGGTACATACAGTAATTGTTTTTGTTTAAGAGTGAATTCATGTCAAACATGTGTAACTTTGTGGTTCGCAGTATACTATAATCTTGGTTTGGTGCTCTTCTTAATTTTATGCATTTTAGCATTTTTTTTTTCCTTGTTTTCCTTGTTTATTTTCATGTTTATAAATGCAAACAGAATTTTACCTGAATTTATCTCTGAATTTACCTCAATTAAAAGTAAATTCAGGTAAATTTTTGTTTTCCATGTTTATAAATGCAAAGAGAATTTACCTCTGATATAATAACTGAACTATCATTTAAAACTTTTCTCAAGTCAAATATATTTGGCTGAAATATTTGGAGAAGATTCTACATGAATCCTTCCCTTGAGGAAGGGAATATGCAGTGAGAACAAAGTACAGTACCGTAGTTGTATTGTATCAGTACCGTAGTTGTACTGTACCAGTACTGTAGTTGTACTGTACCAGTACCGTAGTTGTATTGTACCAGTACCGTAGTTGTACTGTACCAGTACTGTAGTTGTACTGTACCAGTACCGTAGTTGTATTGTACCAGTACCGTAGTTGTACTGTACCAGTACTGTAGTTGTACTGTACCAGTACCGTAGTTGTATTGTACCAGTACCGTAGTTGTACTGTACCAGTACTGTAGTTGTACTGTACCAGTACTGTAGTTGTACTGCACCAGTACTATACCAGTACTGCATCAGTACTGTAGTTGTACTGCACCAGTACTGTAGTTGTACTGCACCAGTACTGTAGTTGTACTGTACCAGTACTGTAGTTGTACTGCACCAGTACCGTAGTTGTACTGCACCAGTACCGTAGTTGTACTGCACCAGTACTGTAGTTGTACTGCACCAGTACTGTAGTTGTACTGCACCAGTACTGTAGTTGTACTGCACCAGTACTGTAGTTGTACTGTACCAGTACTGTAGTTGTACTGCACCAGTACCGTAGTTGTACTGCACCAGTACTGTAGTTGTACTGCACCAGTACTGTAGTTGTACTGCACCAGTACTGTAGTTGTACTGCACCAGTACTGTAGTTGTACTGCACCAGTACTGTAGTTGTACTGCACCAGTACTGTAGTTGTACTGCACCAGTACTGTAGTTGTACTGCACCAGTACTGTAGTTGTACTGTACCAGTACTGTAGTTGTACTGCACCAGTACTGTAGTTGTACTGCACCAGTACTGTAGTTGTACTGCACCAGTACTGTAGTTGTACTGCACCAGTACTGTAGTTGTACTGCACCAGTACTGTAGTTGTACTGCACCAGTACTGTAGTTGTACTGCACCAGTACTGTAGTTGTACTGCACCAGTACTGTAGTTGTACTGCACCAGTACTGTAGTTGTACTGCACCAGTACTGTAGTTGTACTGTACCAGTACCGTAGTTGTACTGCACCAGTACTGTAGTTGTACTGCACCAGTACTGTAGTTGTACTGCACCAGTACTGTAGTTGTACTGCACCAGTACTGTAGTTGTACTGTACCAGTACTGTAGTTGTACTGCACCAGTACTGTAGTTGTACTGCACCAGTACTGTAGTTGTACTGCACCAGTACTGTAGTTGTACTGTACCAGTACCGTAGTTGTACTGCACCAGTACTGTAGTTGTACTGCACCAGTACTGTAGTTGTACTGCACCAGTACTGTAGTTGTACTGCACCAGTACTGTAGTTGTACTGCACCAGTACTGTAGTTGTACTGCACCAGTACTGTAGTTGTACTGCACCAGTACTGTAGTTGTACTGCACCAGTACTATACCAGTACTGCATCAGTACTGTAGTAGTACTGTACCAAAACAAATATGTATTGTCACGGCTTGTGCTCTCTGATATTTTCATTGATACTGTTGATTTAATTAATTTATTTAGTTATTTATATATATACAAGAAGATACAGTGGTTGTGAAAGTACATATTCTATGTTAGTGATTAACGAGTTTTAATTAGAACTTTAAAATAAAGCTTTGGAAGTGTAAATAGCACAAGAGAAAGTGTGGAAGGTGTGTGTGTCTGTTTTTAGCAGGTTTAGGAATTTGAACAGAGGGTCTAAGTTGCCTGAAAACAGAATTTGTTACAGTTCTGATAGCTGATTTTTACTGGGTGATGATGGGCTTGAGGTAGTTTGCAGTGGTTGAACCTCATGCACAGATACTATAGTAAGATGTAGATAGCTTAGTGAATAGTATAGTGTGAGAAGATCAGAGTGGGAGGAATATAGTATCTGTTTTTTTTTCTTTGAAGTACAGTATTTGAATAAAAGTCCTGTAGTGAGTACTGTTGTTATAACTTGTATATTTTACAGAGACTTGGATTTTTTTTTTAATTTATGCAAATAAAGAGCATTTAATAAACCCTTTGAATGATTGTTAAGCATGGAAATAAATATTTGCAGCTTAACTTCAAATACAATAATGACTTGTATGATGCTGAACTGTCGGATGAAGAACGACCTCCGGGGAGCTACGAAGGTTGCCAGTCTTCAGGGAAGCCACATGACAGTGACGATAGTGACGAGGAAAGAGCAAATATTGGAAAAAAGAAAAAGGTATTAAGTTGTACGTTATTTTGTTGTCTTTTATGGTGTATGTTTGCATATATTTTTCTGGTTCTTATACAATATTGTATTTTATGAAAAGTAAACACTGCAGTGTACTGTGTTGTCTTGTATGTATTATAATACTTCAACTTGTCACTTAGCTATCAGATAAGAATTTCAGGATGAAGTCTTATTCATAGAAGACATGAGATTGATACTGACTTATGATCCTTTAAATGTTGGAAAACATCATTGATTACTAAATTATTATTATCATAATGATGTAATGGTAATATCTTCTCGAAGACACAACAACACAGGATAAAAACCTACACTTCTATACCCTGTGAAATTTATGTAAAGAATTACACCAAGAGAGATGTCTGTATGAAACACAGGCCTGCAAGATTAAGATCCTGGTTTTAAGAAGCTGTATAGACAACAAAATTTGTGCAGAAATTCTGAGGTTGGTGAGCAGAATTGCTTGGATGGCAATCCTCTCCCAGTATTTCAAGAGGAGTACCTTCGATGGCAGTTACAGCAGCAATTGAAATGAGGGAATGCAAATTCCAGGACTCCAGACGTTGAGCTGTACGTCTTGTCCTAGCCACATACTTGGAGACCTTGACGGGGCACTCAGGAGAGTGTGGGAGACTTGGTGTAATTCTTTTCATAAATTTCACAGGGTACAGAAGTGTGGGTTTTTGTCCTATTATAATTATTTTTATTATCATCATCATTAGTGCAGTAGTAGTAATATAATATAAATTGAGATGTTTAAATATAAATGATTCCTTTTGTTCATCCAGGATGACATGTTACTGTTGACAGTCACTGTATTTGACCAATATTTGGACACATCTAACCAACACTCTTTGTCTTTGCATACAGTTAGTTATAAAATCACTATTTCAGAAGGTGAAGCATCAACCTCCAACGCTAAAGCAGCAGCAGGTTGAGGTTCGAGAGATTTACAGCGAGTCTCAGCGCATGGTCCGTGACTCTCAAATTTCCTTGCCGTACCACAAACCAAAGCAGAGAACCCTCACAGAATTTCTTAATAGGCATGTAAAAATTATAATTTAAAATTTGTTGTTTACCATATAGGTAAAGGAAAGTACCATACCTTATTACAAGGTATTAAGTGTTCTTGCTGTTGCCATGTAGAAGATTCCCATAACTTATGTTTTATTGTTATGTTCTCTATGTTTATTAGTGTTATCTGGATATTATATTTCTTTACTGTTGTAATGGGGGACCCTTTAACACATACTCTGCTCCAATAACTCTATACATGTATACAGTTTTCTTCTATGTGCAATTTGCCGTTTGCAATTATTTCTCGTGGGTTTTCAATATTTTTCCTTGTGTGCACTTACGTGTACAACTTTTAAAATAAGTGTTCAGTTTGAGGGTTAATACTGTATTTTACAAACCCCCTATTGTAGAATAGCACCAATATGGGAGATGGATAATTTGTTTTCTGGGAGCTCCATGGTGGCTCCCTGTTGGGAACTGCTTGGTTTGTTTCATGCATATCAAATTGCGCCAGGTCTTTGAGAGTCATGAAAAGTTTACTGGCAACTGGAGGCAAAACCTGGCTATCTCATAAAGTGCAGAAAACAGAGTATACTAGATCATTCTAATCAAGAAAATAGTTTTTTTCTAACCAAGAAAACGACTTTCTAACCAGAAAGATGGGAAGGAACCACCGAGGGGTCACTCCCAGAAATCCAACAATGAATGTAATGAATTGCCTCTTTCTGGTGGGCCCTTCGGTGGCTTCCTGTTCTTGCCCTTTTCCTTCAGGGGCTTTCGTTAGAGTTTTTGCTACACGTGTCTGATTCAGTATTAGCAGCTGGACCCTGAGTTGCCACCTGGTGGTGGGAGGAGTAACTTTGGATACTAGTCTCCTTCCCTCAGATAATGTCCAAGTCATGTAATGAACCTTGGCTTAACACTGCAGTATGGCATGCTTCACAAATCAATGGCTGCCTAAAACTGCTGCAGTTTTCATCAAAGGACAATTTCAGAACCTCAGAAGATGCTCTGGATAAATTTGCATGCACATGAAGTCTGACATGTATTGCAAAATAAATCACATACACGTGCTTGGTCATGTGACCAACACTCATAGGGGTCTTTGTTCAAAATGGCCGCACTGATCTTGAGTTAAGAACTCCTCCAGGCTCAAATGGGGTGCACTGTGGCAACATGAATGTGAGAGAATTGTCTCATCTGGATCGACTCATTTGGAATCGATCACAAGACGAGCCAAGCTGAATTTTCCAGAGTCCAGTAGAGTACTGTACAGTACTTTGGGACGACTGTGGCATGTGCATCTACGCAGCAGACAGAGCTTCACATCTCGACACAGGGGACGTCCTCACCAAGAATGCTTATGGTGTGGGTAGACAGCCCACACCTCGCAATACATTACCATGAAACCTCTACATAAGTTTCTCATACTCCATCTGAATTGCAAATTAGATTACCTATCCAGGGATATACAACACAAGGGAAATCGTATTGCACAGGACATAGTACTCTAAGGGGCCTCGTAGCCTGGTGGATAGCGCGCAGGACTCGTAATTCTGTAGCGCGGGTTCGATTCCCGCACGAGGCAGAAACAAATGGGCAAAAGTTTCTTTCACCCTGAATGCCCCTGTTACCTAGCAGTAAATAGGTACCTGGGAGTTAGTCAGCTGTCACGGGCTGCTTCCTGGGGGTGGAGGCCTGGTCGAGGACCGGGCCGCGGGGACACTAAAGCCCCGAAATCATCTCAAGATAACCTCAAGATAACTCTACAGTCATCTCAACAAAGGGTGTGCAAGTCGAGATGAGACTATCATTCTTTTACAACATGCAAGAAATCATTAATAACAGTATCATTTTTATTGTACCTTATAGTTTAAACAAAATGTTGTTAATGTAATTGGAATATTTTATGCTTTCATAATTTCTGCATTGGGATAATATCATGACCAATAAATTACTTCTATATGAAGTACTGTGTGTAAATTTCAGTGTAGGATGTTGGATGTAACATGATTCTGTTAATCAGATTTTTAGTTCATCATTCAACCTATCAATTACCCGTTGTTGATATATAATCAGAGTATTTTTGTTTCTTGACAGGAGAAAGAAGGTATCGGTCCCTCAAACACATTTGCGAACCAGCTTCAAAATGAGTATGCGGAACATTGAAACACTTAGGTGAGGACGCAGAAATAGAGTACAAATAGCACAAGAGAAGTGGTAAGGAACAAGATTTGGTGGCAATAGTTTGTCAAAAGGTAGTAAATATTTGAGGTGTTTGTAAATGCCAGCTCAAGATCACTACTATGCACCTACTATTATAAAGTGGTGGGTGCTGCTCTTGATGGAAACTTGAAAAAACTTTTTTGGGAAAATGGAAAAAATACTGGGAATGTGTATTCAATATATATACTGTACAGTGGTACCTCCACTGTACATATGCTTACAACTCTGAAAAGGAATAATTTACGTACGCTTAGGCACGTTTCCTTTCTTATCTTGAATTTCAAAATTTGTTCGTATGAGGAGGCTAAAATGGGGAATTTGAGGCCATTTATTAGATTGAATTGTCGAAAGTCAGAATGGCCTGGTTAGCATGCTTCCTTGTAAGCATGAGGACCAGAGTTTAAGTTTAAGCCCGAGTAGAACTTTTGGGCACTGACCTCACCGTATTAAGCATTGTTTGAGGATGTGGATACAGATTTGTTGATAAATTGTTTCTTTATATTGGGTTGGCAAGCTGATTGGCTTTCCTGGGCTAGTCCATGATAATGGATCATTTAAGTTTTCCAACTATTGTATGGAGGCTGTGATGGAAGCAAATTTTAGATTGTTTATTTTTTTTAATTGTGTAATTACATGGTTAACATAATGTCAAGAATAGTAAAGAATTTACCAGTTATCTTCATGTGATGTGCTAGTGGTACAATCAAGTGAGGCCATGTATAGTTTGATCTGGCATGTTAAAGTTGGTGTGAGTGAGTGGACTGTTGTGATATATAAAAGTGAATTTATATTTAAGACTAACAAAGTACAGATTTTAAATAATTATGTACTTAAGAGGATAGTCTTATGTGCAGTTTCTATAAGGAATGCTTATCCGCAGAAATCACTATAGGTGAAGTTGTGTTTGATTTCGATATATAGTTTTGGTTCATCTGATCAAAATACCATATTTGTTTATAGCCTATTTGTTTTCACTTGCTCAGAATTAGTTGATGCTTCTATTTACACATACTTTTTTTGGTAGGTTATTGGAAGAAAAGAAGAAAGAAGTTGAAGAATTTTATAAGTCCGACTCTGATCAAGAGGATCCTGATGATCAAGATTGGAAGCCAGGAAGTGAGACTAAGGATGAAAAGGAATCGCCAATTGAAGAAATGGGTTTGGAAGTGAATTTAGAAGAAGAGAAAACAGCAGACAAACTGACAGTTTTCACTGGTGGTGATGAACTCCCAGATATAACTCAGGTAATTGATAGTTTATCATCTACAGTAAAGGATGATAAGTCTTCTGTAGAAGAAAAGCAAAATCTCGAAGGCAAAGTGCCTCTGGCAGCAAGTGAATGTGAGAGCAGAAAAGAGGATCAATGTGTAGAATTTACCGACAAAAATAATGAGTCGGGTATTCATAGTGGTGTATCTTCACCGTCTGACCATTCTCAATCAGGAGATGCAGCTGTTGCATGTATTAATACCGCTTCCGAGGTAAATGCATGCTTATTAAACGATATCAATCACAGTGACGAAGATATAAGCATATGTGAAAAGGAGAAAAATGATGTTGTTAGTGAGGGTTTGGACAAATACAGTGAAGGGAAAGCATTACCTCTTGTGACAGAACATTTATTACCAGTTTCTGCAGCATCCGTAACAAAGGACATTAAAAAGACCAATACACCAAAACTGAGTTTATTAGCCTCCAAGTTACGGGACGTAGACTTGAGTAATATTATCAAAAGTACACCAAAGATTAGTTTTGGAGGTGAAGATGACTTCATTGACCTTGAAGAGGAGGCCTCAACGCCAAAGATGATGGCAGGTGTTAATGAGTTGATGGATCGCTTTGTAAAACATTCTAGCACTAAAAGAAAAGTTGCACAAAAGCAGCAAGTCAACCTTAGGTAAGGCCTTCTTTATTTTTAATGTAATATACCTTGTTATGCCAAAAGGGCATATTTTGAGGCATATTCTATTAACCTTTTAAATCTGAAAAGTGATGCATAGTTACCTGATCTATGTTGAATTTATCTGATATGGTTCACCTTAAAATATAGGCAATATAATAATAAACTATTCTATAATTTTTTTAGTATAGTTTGTAAGCTATAATGCTATAATGTTGACAGTCTAAGGGCTTAGTCACCTTTTATTTCATACTAGCTGTACCCGGCCACGCGTTGCTGTGGCTCAAGCACATACGTTGACTATAATGACTATACAGTAATGTGGTCTACATTCCATGTTAGAGGGAGATGTTTTCCCTAATTTTCATTTTAAAGTCTAGTGCTCGTTGCTGTGGTTATTTAATTTTTTATATATCATGTCAGTTTTGCACTCCTATGTATAACATAACAGGTAATATTATAAATGTAATTGATGATTATTTACTTGGGCCTCAAATTTTGTTGCAGCATTGTAAGTAAGGAAAAGGATGCAGATGGCGCCGAACAGCTTGTGTCATCAAATGTGGTTGTTACCTTGGATGCTGAGCAAGAACAGGTTAGCCCAATATTGTTACCAAATCTCACCAAAGTACCAATAAAAAACTTGACATTTGTGTTAGAATTACAAATTGGTCGATAGAGTACATTGTAAACATTGTCACATTTTTGTCCATATCTCTAGTAATAGTTACAGTGCATGAAGTCATAGAAAATGTTTGATGGATGTAATATGTTCAGATTGTTTAGATTGTTAGTCGCCCAGTTTGTGGCTAGCCAGTTGGAGGGGACACACCTTTTAACCCCATAATGCCTAAGAAGGTTTTACGCTTCTCTTATCAGCAGTGATTTTTGCCATGTGCAAGGGCCAGAAAGTTTTAACACATGGAATGAATTGAAAGGAGAGGCAGTTGAGGGTTTTTCAAGTGCCCTTTAAAAGTAGGTTAGACAGAATCATAGGTAATGAGGGTTGGTTACTCCAGATACATAAATGTAAAGATTCTCTCCCAGGAGAGAATCATTCTTTCCTTCAAACTCATATGCATGTAGAAAAAATTGAGTTCCTACCCCACTCACTGATATCACACCCACCAACTGCATCTCCCTCTACCTACGCAGATGCCCATTCTATTGCTACCTGTAACAAGAGAACAGTAGAACAGGATGGATGCTGCAGCAATGTCGCTTGGGAAACAATGAGAAATCAACCTTCTAGTAAACAGCTAGGAGGTCAGGAGTTTAGGAGATAACATTTTCAGATATATTGCAACCTTACTAATCCACTTGGGAGTATGTCATGATCAAAGGATACTGCAGGACCTCTCACTGCCCTCAGGAGTTGTATAAAACATTGGCCGATAAACAGTGTTGGCAGTGGGAAGTGAGTGTGAATTTGTGTAATAGTCAAATTGAATTCTATTCTGTTGTGCTTGTTACATGTTCCACACCAAAATAATTAATCCAGCTTTTCACGTGTTTTTCTGATTAGAGTTTCCCAAAATTATTTGAAAAAATACAAAAAAGAGCATAACTGTATCTGTAACTAGATTGGATCTTTCAATCTTTGGGACTTATGAAAAGCTCCTTCTGAGCATGCTTCTGAAGGTATGAATGGTTCTAGGAGACTGGATGTGTACGATCAGCAAGGTAGCACACATTATATACGTGTCTTTGAGAGCACTGGAGTGCTTTAAATCCAGTATCAGGAGCCCTTTGTAGGGAAGGTCAGTTTGGGAGTTATCAGAGTAATAATCTGCTGTCATGTTTAATATTGAAGTCTTGGATTTTTTTTTTTTGATAGTTCCTTATGGGAGCTATCGGTGCTGAATTTAATGTTCTCCAGTGATACCTATCATCAGCATGACCCTACAGAAGTTTGTTGAAACTAATCCTGTGGTGCTGGTATAGTCACCCTGCCTTGACTGTACACGTCCCATCCTTTGGACCTGTCAGATCTTACCTTAGGGAACCACTAAGATGATGTTCTCCAAAATAGGTATGGAGATATATTCAAACACAATTGTCAGTAACAACAGTCAAATTGAAAAGCCCTTTCCTTTAGCCTACAGAAACTGTTCCTGGAGCTCGTCTCGTGTCCTTGAAGACAGCTCTTAAGGCAAAGATCAGGGAGCAGCGCGAGAAAGTGAGAATTAGGAGAGTTAAGGAAAAACAGTTTCTGGAGACTGAACAAGTTATTGAAGGTAAGTATTACATTAATTACCCATCATTTGAGTATAACCAAGTTATGATAATAATTTGCAGTGCACTGTAGTTAAATGCCAATTCATAACAGTATTTTGTATGCAAATTAGTTTTTCTGAGCTGTCATTCTGTCACTTTTTGAGGTTGGATATCCTGCATGTGTTAAAGGCTGATGACATGCAAGCAACATGTGGCAGTAGTACTACTGGCATAACAGTGTACATGCCTGGAAGCCACTACAGGCTGTGTCATATAGCTATAGTAAATTGTTGTCACTGTTAAGAAAGCACAAGAATAACAGAATTGCAGATGATTCACCTAAAGAATAAATCCACAAGGGCCGTGACGAGGATTCGAACCTGCGTCCGGAAGCATCCCAGACACTGCCTTAATCGACTCGTCACGGCCCTTGTGGATTTGTTCATTTGATGTATCACGTTAGTGTGTGATCTCTGTGTTTAATGATTCACCTATTTATGAGTTGCCATTGGTAATCCTGGATATACGTAATCTGCCAATTACTCGATTGCACCACCTAACTGCCACCACCATGTAGCAACACGTCCCCAACCCATAATTCTCCAGCCCTTACCTTCCTCACATACATCTTGACAGTGTTTCATGACAGTTTGGTAAATGATTACCAGTTGTTATAAGTTAATTAACTCAGTTACCAAATCTAATGATGATGTGATACATCTGATATATATAGCAACGTAGTTACTGTAGCCAGTTTACTAGATGGTGTTACTAGATTCTGCCGAGTATTCCCATTTTCCTGATAGTATTTTAGTGCCATTCTAGTATTGGTTTGGAAGGTGGCTGGCTGTGGACAGTTCTCTGGCTTGAGTCTCTTCCTCTGAGTTCCTGGGGTTGTTTTTATGGCACTGTCAGTCGAGTTACCTGTAGGTTCTTGCTGGTCCACCGAACCTTAACCTCGCCATCCACTTAATTTTCTTATTAGGGATATTAGCATATTGGTAACCCAAGAGGTACAAGTGTTGACTCTAGTAGTTGGCATTTAGTCCTAAAGGAAGTCTCGAGTTCTTTCCCATCTAAAATTAGGACAAGGATTGTTTAGGGCCTCAGCTTGCCTGGTGGTTGTCATTGTGCAACCTGCTTGGGCTTTGAGATTATAAGAATGTGTACATGTCCCCATGTTGATACTAGTGACATTCCTGTCCTGGCTTCAATGTTGTGCACAGGGTTCCTACATGTCCTTGAAAGCTGGAAAAACTTTGAAATTAAAAGTAATTTTGAAGGCTTGAAACACTTACAAAATTGGAGATTATGAGGTTGCTGAGAGTCATTCAGTTGTAACCAGCAGTACAAAGGTACATTGTCAGCCATAAGAAATTGGCCAAGAGGAAAGCATCTATCTCCATGTCATAGTCTTTGGTTATGTCTACTCTCAGTTTTTTTTTCTCGTTGTTTCTTGTAATTACCTTCCCTTTTGGTGTAGTTAAATATAGGTCTCTTATCTCCCTTACTCACTTTCATTACTTTGCACTTGTTTGGATTGATTTCCAGCAGCCATTTATCTGCCCACTCCTGAAGTTTAAGATCTCCTTGCAGCACCCTTCATTCCTCTTCAGTTCTTACTCCTCATCAACTTTGCATCATCTGGTGTTTTGGGTGGTTTGATAGCTTTGTATTTTCAGAGTGGTAATTGGCAATTCTTGAGGTTCCAATAATTGTTTGAAGGGAATCCTGAGTGATTTAATCTGTTCTTTGGTATCAGAGCCTATGGTGGGTGGATTACGATATGCTGCCCACCGTCTCCCATCTCCTAGACTCAAGGACTGTTTCATTGTAAAAGTTGCTGGCTCCCGGCATGATTGAAGTTGACCAGACTCTGGCATGCTAGCAGTGACCTAGGCTCACCCAATGGCCCTTGGTATTGAGGGCAACCAAGGTGCCACTCAGAAAGGATAATATCTTTCATCTTTTGTTTTTCTTTTATTTCACTTGATGGCTACATAGCCATTGGCTTTTAATTGTTCCTGATCTGTTCCTGTTTTCATTTAAACATAAAATAAAGATGATTTTAATAATATTAGATATAATATTTTCAGATCATGATGGAGACCTGCCAGACGAAGAGGCTGAGCTGACTGACCAGAGTGATACCGAGTACGAGACAGAGTCCGAGCCTGAAGAGAATGACATTGTTGTTAAGGATAAAAAGCACAAGAAGAGTGCCTTCGTAGATGATGAAGCAGAAGATGAGGAAGATGAAGACATGGATGAGGCTGATGAAACTGAGAATGGAGGGGATGATAATGATGTGGGGTATGTATTTTTCTGTTAACTAAAAGGATTTGTGTTGAATTGCTTTTAAGGATCTTATAGAAGAAATAAGATGCATTCCAGGACTAAGATTTGTATTTACATAAGTTATTTTATGTATGCATGCATATATATATTGAATTACATACAGTATACAGTAGAAAGTTTTATTGACTGTGTATAAATTGTAAGGTAATACGGCCAGGTTGATTAAATGGAACTATGATGAAAACTGGCCATGGGCTACAATGACTTTGAAACAGGCTCAGTGACGTTCCTATTTCTAAAGCTTAATTGGTGGTTATGATTTTTTTTGCTTAACTTACTTAAATGTGTGTTGAAGTAAACATGTTTGCATATACAGTACATTCTGTGAATAACACTTGAGACTTGTATGGAGCACAACTTTTTGTTTTCCAATTGAAAACTAATCACACTCTAAATTAACCCTTAAACTGCGCATGGCGTATATATACACCCTGAGTAACATGTCCCACGGTGCGCATGGCGTATATATACGCCATAGGGTGCCAGGCTCGATTCAAATGGCCCGCGGCTACATGGGGGTTCACAGTAGCTTGCTCAGGGCTCTTGTAAACAGATGCTATTTTTTAAAAAAATCGTGGGCAATATTCTCAGGTGTGAGAGGCACAGTACTGTTGGAGCAACCAAGGCTGGCACACGCAGCATGAGCGAACAGCATTGCTGTTCAGCTTGTGACCACAGCTTCGCCGAAAAATGTCAAAATAAATATATAATTGTTATTATTTAGCGATGACAATATTACAGATGACCCATGACTGTGATATAAATAACCAGGGTTGCGATAATAGCAGGATTGTTGTAATAATTAGCGCTGTGGGAGGAGTGATGCTGAGAGACAGAGGGAGACAGCATCGTTTACTGACTGTGTGGCTACCTGTTATTGTTTGCATTCACCATACCAGCTCAGTGGTTCTCTATGGTGAACACAAATTTAGATACTTATGTATAATGTGTGTATTAGTGTAATAACAGCAAAAGGATTATTCTGGGAGGAGCCATATGGGTGACGGAGGTGACGTCGTCTGCACGATTTGTCTAGCTGTTTAGAGGGTGGCCACTATGCTCTTTGGGCGCACTACAAGCTTAGGTGTACAGTTACGGTGCATAAAACATGTAGATACTTATATATAATATGTGTATATAGGGTAATAACACTACAAACAGTATTGTTGGGGGACAAAGTTTAGTGCGTGTGACCTTGAAAGAGTGAGGGAGCCGCCAGCCGCCATCTGTGTATAGCGACTACTCTTAGTGCCTGAACTAACTATATCAGCTTAGCTGTACAGTTGTGGTGAACAAAATATATACATACTTATATATGACGTCTGTATATAGTGTAATAACACCACAAATGGTATTGTTGGGGAAGAAAGTTTAGTGCGTGTGTTGAGGGAGTGGCAGTGAGTGGCTGGCTAGTGTGTCTCGGTAACTCTTCGTTGCTTTTCGACTCTCAATACCAACTTAGTGGTTCGTTATGGTGACCAAAACATGCAGATACTTATATATAACCTGTGTATAGAGTGTAATAGCAGCAAAACTATTTGTTTATTGTTTTATAAACATAATAATTGAATCACTAATATGCACATCATACTTTTGAGTATAGCGATTATTCACCACTTTTATTATATAAATATATTACAATACACACTATTGAATAATATTACTGCAAAAAAACTAAGAAAAAATCAATCAGAGACATTGAAACAATTAGGTAATAATATCTTTGTGGCAACTCCCATCTGTCAGCGCGGGTGACGCTGACCGGGTCTGACGACCGCTCTGTCAACGCCCACTTTTTGCCAGACTTCCTCGGTCAATTGCGCCCAAAATATGTCACCTACGATTTTTTTTTTTTATTTTTCCCGTGCTCAGGGGACACAAATTAACATGTTTAAAAGACGAAAAAAAAAATTTGAATTTTTTTTTCTTGCGCATAGGGGTGTAAATGTCCCCAGGACCCCTGAGCAGTGTAAGGGTTAACTTTGGATTATGTTTACATTTACAGTCTTCCACCACTTTGTCTGTATTAAGAGTGGGTGGTCCATGAGTTGCCAACATCTCCTAAAATATTAATCTCAATGAGTAACCCCCCCCTCCTTTCTAGGTGAAAACATTTCATCGTGTACGGCTGTGAACTTTTAAGTATCTGTTTGCATGGTAACTAGTTAAATTTGAGTGCCAAGTGATTTTTTTCAGTTAAGGATTTGCACACATGATCTGTCCTGTATAATCGAAAGTATTGAGTTGAATTGAATGTATTATATAATATATTTTTGCCAGAGATCTGCAAATACAAGTGTGATATTTCAGTCATATTTCTAATGTAATATGAGATGAGAAGAAATTTTTCATATATTGCATTTGTATCGACTAAAATTATATCATGATTTCAAGAAATGTAGAAATTAGTAGTTTAGTAGTAAAGTTAATGGGTTAAATATTAAGAAAATCATTAAACATTTGTAATTAATTGCAGTCCTGAAGTAGCAGATGGTGACAGTAATGACACTGTTGAACTGCCCAGCACACGAAAAAAAAATTCTGAGAATGACGATGACATAGAGGAGGACGACAGCGAACAGCTTAAATTACACTGGGAAGAGTCCCAGGATGTCCATACAGTGAACCACTGCAACTCTTGGCAAGCGCCGTCCATCTCTCGCTCCAATACTGAGGATTTATTTGCTTCTCAGATGTGTAAGAAAAGTAAGTACTGTACTGTATTGTTAAACAGTTTTCAGTGTTGTTGTAGTTAAAGATACTGCTGAAGTTAATGTGCTTGTATATGCTGTTACTGAAAAAGCCAAGTATTGTCTGTCGGTCAGTGCATGTGTGTTTTCTGTTACGTGATCTCCAGATTTATCCAATCCAGCGTTTGGTTTGGATAAGTTGTTTCCTTAACCCGGCATCGCTCAATTATCCAATATTACTGTACTCTTCATCATATACGTCCACAACTCTAGGCCAACACCACTCCAACCAAGTATTAATACAAAAAAATAGAAGGATTGAGGGTCACTATGAGTTGTTTACCAATTGTCCCTGATACTTGCAACTCCATTACATGGGTGCCTCCTCAACTCATGAAAGCGGGAGGTTATCTTGAGATGATTTCGGGGCTTTTAGTGTCCCCGCGGCCCGGTCCTCGACCAGGCCTCCACCCCCAGGAAGCAGCCCGTGACAGCTGACTAACACCCAGGTACCTACTTTACTGCTAGGTAACAGGGGCATAGGGTGAAAGAAACTCTGCCCATTCTTTCTCGTTGGCGCCCGGGATCGAACCCGGGACCACAGGATCACAAGTCCAGCGTACTGTCCGACTCGGCCGACCGGGGAAGTGATATAGTATAATTAATATCTGTATAATTTTTATAATTAGTGATGTAATATATTTCCATCACTATTTTTTGTAATTAGTGATGTAGTATAATTATCTTAATTATTTTTGAATTTTTCCCATTTTCATGAAGCGTAGAAGCATCTGTCCAGAGAAAATAGGGAATTAAGGCCCATTCATTCACCATATCTAATACACGTCATACATCTTGTTGAGAATAATAAGTTTGTGAGAAACATTTTATTAGTTATTTTCTTTTTATTTGTTATTATTATGCTTGAATGTATGCATGTTTTCAGTTGAGAGTGTGGACAAGGATGCCAGTACCACCTCAATGGATTCCAGTTTTGAATTTTTTGGGTCAGTGATCCCTGGGCACCAACCTGGAGGAGGAATGAGACACACCACAGCTGGTCACCGCAGTGAGAGTGAGGGTGATACAACCTTCCTCACGCCTTTCACTAAAACCAAATCTAACAGTTTTAGCAGCACTTCAGTAAGTCCTCTGAATACAATGATGTGTAGTGTGCCTTAAGTCATAAGAGTGTAGAATTTATGGATGTTGTATGTGTATCACTCAGTAATACTGTATGTATCATTGAGCTTGCAGCTGTATGTGCATTAATATTATTATTAAAGCAGATTTAACAGTTAATTGAATGTGGCTCATTAACTGTTTAATAATTGTAAACAAAGCTGCCAAAGATTGAGAAAAGATGGACAGGTTCATAAGTGCTTGTGTAACTGCTTCATGAATCTGGTCCCTGGTTGCTGGGCTGGTCAACCTGGCTGTTGGGCGTGGCTGCTCGCAGCCTGATTTTTTTATGGGACAAAATTACCACTATGAGGACCATGACAGCATTGAACACAAAATCTGAATCTTATATTAATCTTCCCATTCATTGTATCAGTGTACTGTATTTACACTATCAATTTACTGTAAATACTTAGATGAAATTGATGATTTTATTCCCTGACGTCTTGCAATCCAGATACTCTGCTCATTAATATTGTTTGCAGCACACTATTGAAACTCCTGACATAGGGACTTGCATCCTTATATTTCTGGAAGTCAAACATACAATTCTCTACACGTTTTCCTTTCTTCATGTAAACTAAAGTTGTTTGAATGATTGGCATATAAGTGATTGAATATGTACCTCAATTAATGTTTTTCAAAATTAATGGCGAGGTAATTTTGTTTGAGTCCAAAACAAAATGCTAAATTACTTCAATAATTTTTAACTTTCAGATGTATTACCTGTAATTGATTGTAAAGTTGAAGATTAAGATGTTTATTTTACTTTTTCTTATTGTCCTGTTTTTATATAATGGGGCTTTTTATATACTTTCAGAGGGAGCGTGATTTAAGCTTACCAATTGAAGATTCTCAAGATTCGTGTAATGTAACCGCAGCTAGTAGGTCAATTTCTCTGTCTCCAAGTGAATTAAGTCTTCACTTAACTCCCTTAAAGGATTCACAATTTCCTCACGAAGAATCGCAGAAGGTTAATTCGATTGTGAAGCTGCGGCTAGATTTTACAGATATTGGAGATTCACAGAAAGATGAATTAATTGACCTATGCTCAGGACAGTTTGCAGGTATAGTAGTATTATGTTTTCTCTTTGAATGCTTTAATTAACAGATGAAGAAATACACATTAACAGAAATAAATACACATTTAAATAAATGTGTATTTATTTCTAGGAAAAGGAAAGGAAGGCCAAGCAGTGGCTATTCAAGTATGATCGAAAAGTGTATGACACTTGGTATACTGTACATGTGAACATCAGACAAGAAATAATATTGGACTGAAGAGATGATTAACATTTTGTTTATGACATTTCATATTGAATATTTAACACCTAATCTGTGGCAAAACTGAATAAGCTATTATACAGGAATTTATATTTTGCAAGTGTGTGATGGTACAGTACTGTTTTTCTGTGGGAAATGGTGTTGATGATGATGGTGTGTGGTTATCTTGAGGTAATCTTGAGATGATTTCGGGGCTTTTAGTGTCCCTGCGGCCCGGTCCTCGACCTGGCCTCCACCCCCCAGGAAGCAGCCCGTGACAGCTGAGTAACACCCAGGTACCTATTTTATTGTTAGGTAACAGGGGCATAGGGTGAAAGAACCTCTGCCTATTGTTTCTCGCCGGTGCCTGGGATCGAACCCAAGACCATAGGATCACAAGTCCAGCGTGCTGTCCGCTCGGCCAACCGGCTCTGTGTGTGTGTGTTTAATTATCTACGTGTAATTACATATTTTGTGAAGAATTTAAATTCGTTTTCAGTTTTATAGGAGTAATGTGTATTGTTCTTTCCTCAAATAGCAAAAACACCCTCCACCCAAATGAAGAACTTGTGTGAAGATAACCTCACTCCAACTCAAGATATAGGTGAACTCATGGGCCTGTGTTCAGGCCAGTTTGCTAGTCACGGTGAAAAGAAGAGTAACCAAGCGGCAAAAAGTCAGAGTGCTTTATCAGAGCTTGTAGCATATGATAGCAGCCCAAGTGAAGGTCACCACAGTGACGAGGAAGAGTTGCTGAATCTCTGCACTGCAAAATTTACCACGTAAGTGTGCACAATTCTGGGTAGTTAATCGTTGAGTATGGCTTAGTTGATGGAGCTATAATGCTAATTTGTGCATTTAGTTACTAGTTCTATATATATTGCAAAGTTTGTTATGATGTAAATGAGTGTTAATTAAAAAGACAGAAAAGTATCTGTGTGTGATTTACTAGTTAAAGAAGGGGAGAAACGGAATCAAATCTATTTGCAGTTTTCATGTAGTTAGAAAAGTATTGTTTAAAAAATTTAAGATATAAAAGTTATTGCAATTAATGGCTGTCCTCTCACATTCTCCTAAAATTTAAGGAAAGTTGGACAAGAGGATTTGGAAGGAAGGTGGAAATGCAAAATGAGCCAGAGTGGAGTAAGAATACTCTTATACACAGTGAGGCTGGTCAACAGGTGGAATGTACTGGCAGTAATACTTGATAGATTCAGTACTTTATATGTACATTTATACATATATACTTTATACATACTTTATATGTATTTACTTCCTTTCTTCTTCATTTAATCATTATTCCCTGAACCTCATCTATACCTGCTGCTTTCCCACATCTTGTGTAAGGAAATGTAACAAAGACTGTCATTACAGATGACAGGACATACTGCGATGATCTCTCCTTCCTCCCAAAGAAATAATTTTACAAAACAAAATGCCACATTAAAAGTCTTCATTGATGTGAAAATATGATATAGTATGACCATGTTATGTAACTGATGTGTTTGTTTACAGACAAGCAACTCGAGAAAATTCTATAAATGATGCTAGTAATGCGGAGAAGCCAAATAGTCAACTAAAAGAAAGGATGGAAGATGAAGAAATGAGACCTGAACCACAGATGATAATATATTCCTCAGATGAAGAAGGTGCAATAAACAGACAAGTGAAGGTAAAAGCTAGCAAGAAAAGGAAGAGGATTATGCAATTTTCTGGTGAGTAGATAACAGATTACAAGTGTTTTGTATATATGTCAGCCTTCTATTCCAAGACACTTTAGCTTTTTTAAATATTATCTATCATTGGTTTCAAATATTTTTCTCTATTTTCACTCCGACCTGAAGCTAAGCATCCCTGGTTACTGCATAAACAGTCAGTCTAACAGTTACTAAGTTTCACAAGTCTACTTAGCCTTGAATACCTCTCCAAGCTGACACTGCCAGAAGTAACGTCTTTAGTTCCTTCTTGAATACTTCTAACACTCCTGCTTCTACAATACTGTATTATTTATATTTGCTATAGAAATGTATATAATTAACTATATTTTCAGCCTTCTGGCCTTGCTGTGACCAGCATGAGAAATGATGTTTGTATAGACAGGTGGCACATTTATAGACCCAACCCCCACTGGCACCCCAGGCAGAACACCTCTTATCTGATCCATGTCCCACGCCATTACTTCCCTCATTATCATTTCTCTCTAACACCATCAGCCACACCACCTCTACCAAAACACATCCACTTCCACCTTCTCCATGCTCACCAGCTCCACCTTCAGGACCACCATACAAAATGGTGGTCCACAGCCAAAATAATTATCAATTAACCTTGGAGCAAACCGCCACATCCACCCTCTAACTTAATTATGCCTTTAGCCACCCCTCTTGACTGATGGTATCCATGTACACCCAGAAACTGTTCAACTCGGAAGGAAAACGCAGTAAATATGAATAGTATATGGGTGTTTCTGAGTAAGACCTCCTCAGTTGCTCTCTAAGCCAGGAACCTGGCTCGCTCACGACACCACATTTCCCTCGGGTTCACTTGACTAGTGCCCCACAGTGAAAATAATCTTGCAAATGATCTTGCTATCTTAATTAAGGTGGGGAGACGGGGGAGATAAAATTTAATCCTCCATCAAAATGTCTTGTTTGTTGTAACACCCCAGCTGATGTTGGGTTGGTCTTGGATTATTTCCCTGGGCCTTTGGTTGCATATTGGCACATTCCTATTTTGGGTTCACCTACTATTTTTTGGGCTCTTCCCTTCATGCTCCAGTTGCCTCTCAGGTCTTTCATATGGTTCATCTGTGTAATTCTTTGTGGGCTCCAATCTGGGAGCCCACAAATTGGGCTCCAAGGTTGGAGCCCTCCCAACAAGCTCCCAGCTTGTTTGTCTTTCTTTTTTATTAGTAAGTAGTTTTTCTGGTGTTAACACTTTGGCGTACCCCGCGCGCCACCCCTCAACTGTGCGATATGGGACCCAGGGTGTCACGGGAGCGCGCGTAAATTCTGAAAAGTGTATACTCTCTTCAACTTTGTCACCTTAATTCTCGTCCTACGAGATTAAATTTTGTATCATTGTGTTCGCAATAGAATTCTCTACAGCACTAAATGCATATAAACTCCAAAAGCCCGGCTAATTACCCGCAGCAAACAGAGAAAGTGCGAACGAGTTACCCAGGAGCGCGCAAACGCGATAAAATGTTTTCACTATTTTCACTCTGGTCACCTCAATTTTCGTCCTAGGTCTTTCATTTTGGTCTCAATGGGTTCGCAATAGAATTCTCTAGAGGAACATTAGCATATAAAATAAAAAACCTGGTCACGCTCCAACCGCCGACGAGTTGAAGACGGGCCACGCGTTAGCCGCAAGTGAGCGCTCAGACGCCTTCCAGCTACACTCCCAATTCCCGCCCTTTTCAAGCCTTTCTTTCGCAATTTTCTTCCTGGAAGGGCCTTGTTCATGATCACTATCCATCGTGGAGTAAGCGTAGATAGTTTCTAAAGCCGCAGTAAGAAATATAGCCACGGAAAATAGCCGAAATGTTCACACGTTTGAGATGCGAGGGGAGGCGACATTGGTCACAACAGTGGAGCGAAAACAATGGGCCCACGGCGTGTGCCAAGCCGCCTGAGGGCCACGAGGCTCAACAAAGAAAATGGGAAGACATCGGCGCGCATTTTAAAACCAGTCCCAAAAAAATCGGATAAAAACCTGATTTTTGGCGATTATTTAAAGTGGATGACGCAATGCTGCGTCATCCCCGGCATTACCGACAGTAAACGGATGACGCAATGCTGCGTCATGCCCGGGCGAAAGTGTTAAAATTAAATTAAAAAGTAGTATAGAACTGTACAGTAGGCTGTGTAGAACCTGGTACAAGAGGCTCTGTAGAACCTGGTACAAGAGGCTGTATAGAACCTGGTACGAAAGGCAGGGTAGGCCCATGAGCTTATCCTTGCAGTGTTTGAGAAACAAGTACATGACATTGAACTGCAGTCAGATGTAAGGATTACAAGTTGAACATAGAATCCAGGCTTGACTTGTGAGAGTACATAAGTACAAATACATAAGACAAACTATTTAGCATCACTTAGATACAGAATTATAAATATAGTAATAAGTTTTATTTACAGTAATTAAACTGTTGTTTTGTTGTTTAAACAGTGGTATCCGTGCTGACTTTTTGGAAAATGAAGCAGAACTCTCTGGATCTGATGTCAATACAGATGATGAGGAGGATGATGATCAGGATGACATGGAGGAGGAAGAAGGGGATTTGGAGCAATACGATGAGAATGAACTAAGAGATCAGGTCAGTTTTCAAGAAATTGTTATATACCTTGTGAAAGGTGTTTTGTACTTACTGGTATGAATGTAAGTGCCTAATATAATCTTACATAATTTATAATGTTTCCTCTTTTGTTCAGTTAGTTTTAGTGGTCAATATTGAAATTTGAACTAAAACTGTACTGCCAAGATACATTGTTGCTAACATGGTATAATCATAAATATATATTATGGAACCAGCTTCATTATACTGAATTTGCAAAAGTTATCTCATATTAGGTCAATCATGGTTTAAACAAATTATTTACCAAGGACTATCATCTTGTGCGTTTCAGTACAAATTCATTCCTAGTGTTTGTTTTGTAGTTTTTAAAAGAAACTAATTATTCCTTTATTATAGGGTAGAGGAACTCAGTTGATCTCAGGAAGAAACTAGTGTGTTGGAGGGGGAAATGAATAGAACTATGAGACTTCCTGGAGATGTGCTAATGGGATACTGGACTTGAAGTCAAATTAAAAAAAACAAGTTATACTAAATCTATAAGAGCTGCCTCACATGGGTCAAACGGCTTTAGCAGATTGCTTTATTCCTATGTTTATAAGTATGGTACAGAAAGGCATGGAAATAATGCAGAGGGCAGAGTACAGAGGAGAACAAGAAGACGAGTTAAATTATGATTCGAGTACCTTATATTGATGACCAGACCACACACTAGAAGGTGAAGGGACGACGACGTTTCGGTCCGTCCTGGACCATTCTCAATCGACTTGAGAATGGTCCAGGACGGACCGAAACGTTGTCGTCCCTTCACTTCCTAGTGTGTGGTCTGGTCAACATACTGTAGCCACGTTATTGTGACTCATCGCCTGCATACGAGTACTGTACCTTATAATTTGAAGAATAAAAAGTAAAAGAAAAAGAGAAGCCGTTAAAAAATCAGAGTGGTGGTAAATGCAAAGGACCGATCCAAACTCTGTTGGTATTTGACAAAGTAATCAGACTGAAAAAAAAGATAAGAATAAACTCATAATAAGCGATAATAAAATTGGTGGTAAACTAAACTTGGGAGAGTGAAAGGGGGGGAGGGGGGAGAGCTTTGTCATCTTAGTATACATAAAATAAAGACACCTGACTTCATAGAAGTTATGTCAAGGGAAAAAATAGTAGTGTAACAGTCAATTTGAGGAAGTTTGACTTCTTAATGTCAATGTTCACAAATAATGTAAAGTTATGAAGAGACATAAGTATAATTAGGGACTAGAAAAATTGCTTTGGGATGATCTTGATAATTCAATGAATGATCGAAGAAATTATTACTGGAATTTAACCCTAACAAGTGCAAAGTAATAAGAATGGAAAAGGAAGAAAGGAGACTAGAAGAGAAGTGGCTTTAGAGTGGATATCATGTTGTCTCGCACAAGGAATGCATATAAACATAACAAGGTTTTTATTTACAGGTTGGAAGAGCTCACTTAAAGACTGTCCTAGACTCTGATAAGCGGGAGATACGCCTCCTGCAGGAAATGTACCTAGAGGATGGCGAGTTGCACGGTGAAGGTCGACAACGGCAATTCAGGCAAGCCATTTCCTTGGATTAATTTTGCAGTTTCTTTGAACCATAGGGTTTTGTCTTGTTTAGGATAACCAGCTGCCAATACAATGTCTTATGTTGGTTCTGGGGATCTAGTTTACTGGGTCCTCTACATTGTTTACTTTCACAAAAATTCTAGTATCATCTGCAAAGGATGATACAGTACTACTTTGTGTCCCTGTCTGACATAAGGATGATAAGAAAAATACTGAAGCAAGCACAATGCCTTGGGTGACAGCTTTTTATGGTGGATGATCTGGATTTTACTTTGTTGAATGATGGACCCTCTGGGTTGTGTTCATTAGAAAATTAAAGATCTACCTACTTTACTAGTAATTCTTTTTGTGCACATCTTGTGCACAATAACACCTTGGAGATGCTGTGTTTGTGTTCTGTCCATCATTGGACCAAGTTGGTGGTTGTCTTCACATTTCTAACCATTCTTCTCATTTTCTCTTGCTAAATGTCTAGTAAGTAGAGTTGTGGCTGTTTTCATAATGACATTTTTTTGTTTTATTACCACTAGTTCCTCTCATGAAAAGCTGGGCAATCTATATCAGAGCATTCTTTCTTCTTTAGTTAACGTTTACACAGTTGTGGGTGGAAAAAATTAGCAAATTTTGTTATGTTTATCTGTACTAAGAATATTTAAAAATTTTGCTTCAGTGATCACATTTGCATGTTCCATTTGGTCTTCCCGGTAGTTCATATTTACATATAAACACCCCAATTTTAATATCAATAGGTTTTGAGTTCTAATTTTTAGTTTATTGACACCTAGCTTTGGTGTTTATCAACAACGTCTCAAGGTCTCTCAGTGTTAACAGGCATCAGCTTCACATTGGAATAAGTGCATTAAAGAACAGGAGACTCCTGATAAATAACAAGATTCCATAGTCTTGACTTAATCAATGTTTTGTACACAGTATTCAACTTGATATTTCAATGTGAACCACTCATATTTACACACCTTTATAAAGAAAGAGCAGAAGTCTTTCAAACATGATTTAATAAAATCTTTTTGAAGGTTTTCTGATGTATTCATGACCCTCTTATTCTTTCTCTTATTTTCTTTTAATATTTGTGTACTTCCTGTATCCCTTTCTTTGACCTTACTCATCCATTTTTGATATTCATTATTTATTTAAAAAAAAAATCCTCATTTTCCACATGCTGCTACTATGACACCACCTTCATTGTAACACTTTCCTATGTAGGGAGTACAAAATGCCTTTGCTTTTAATTGCAGATGGAAAAATATTGGTGATGACACTGAAGATAATGAGAAGAAGGTGCTGTCTGATGAAGAAGGGGGAGAAGATGAAATAGAAGATGCCGAGTGGAGAAAGCAGAAAATTGAACGGGAAAAGTTCTTAAAGGAACAAAGAACAAAGGTGCTTAGCTATATTCAATAGTGGAAATTATTGCCAAAGCTCATAAGTTTATCCACAATATTTATATCTTACAGCATCTTGTTTCCAGAGGAAAGGTTCTTTGCATGAGCATTGCTTCATTGGCTTGTGCACAATATTTAAAACATCTTCATGCATTTGGGACTTTTAGCAGATTATTCAAAAGATTTTTCCGGACGTTTTTATGTGCTGGTTTATCTGATGAAGTAGTTAGCATTCGTTTGTATTGAGGAATAATGTGTAAAAGACAATTGTTGCAGCGTTGATATAGTTATTTGGGAGCTTCTGCCCTTGGAGATCAGTGTCTTGGCTTACCTAGGCAAATGCTCATTTGATCTCCCAGTCATCAGCTTTGCCTGCCAGGCAGTGCTGGACAAGGTCAGCTTTCTGGTGAACAGACTGAAACACCTTGTTGTTGTTTTTTAGATTCAACTACTGGGAACAAAAAGTTTCAAGCATCACGGGCTATGGTGAGCCCGTAGTGGACTTACCTGGCACAGGAGCGGGGCTGTAACTGTGAAGCCCCAGCTCCAACTGACTGATATAGTCGAGGTTCATCTTAGACAGCAGGATAGCCTCCATTTTTCTTCTTGAGACAGTATGGTGCAACGTGTTTCCCATCTCTCATCCCTGGGCCAGTGGCAGTATAATTATTATCGCCTGGTTTTTGTACGAATATTGTAAATATGGTTATAATACATCTATGTGGATGTAATAACTACCAAAGACCCATGACAAAATTCTGAAATCTTTGTAATTATTATTGTGCAATGACAGTCATATATTAGTGGAATATGACTTGTCAAATCATAATTTGGTCTATATTTTTTTTAATCTTTTTCTGGTTGAAAAAGGAGTGGGTTGCTATACACTTCTTTGAGCTGTGCCAGTAACAGGTGTACATAATACATTGTAAGTCTATATACAGTCATTAATTACTACTATTGTCAGTTATATGTACATAAATTGAGTTGTTAAACATAAATAATGTAAATTAATTAATGTAGCCATGAACATAAAACCATCCAACTTGATCATACGAGTCCTCTTGCCTCAACACCGCAAGTCAGCAAACTGCGTGTCAAGTGTTGACACACTCGCATTAACCTCTCCACCTGACCACTGAGTGCACCTCACCTAACCAGAAAAGAAGGAATTTATTTTTTCTCTCCTTTTTACATACAAATGTATCATTCTACAAAAATCAATCCCCCCCTCCCCCCCCCCCTTCCCCTTGCTCTTTGAGAGTCTCATTATCTCAAGCTACCTTGGCTGACTCAATTTTGCTTGCATCATGTATTATTTGGGGCCAAGTCTAACAAAGGGATTGTGTTGTATGGTTCCCATCCTTAGGACTTTCCATTGTCAAGCTTTTTGCAGTTAATTCTCCTAGAGGCCTCTCCAGCTCTGTTGCTCATGTGCTTCATCAACATGACTGGTATAGGGTTGAGGCTTTGTTGCCAGCTATACACATTCAGGAGCATTAGTCACTGGAGTTAGTGGGTTTTCACTTCAACATTCAGGAGATAACAGTTTTCTGGGGGGAGCCCCGTCGGCTCCCCGGAGCTTTACCGGCTGATATGCTAATGTCAGACTTTGGCATCAGTCATGTGTATGGAGTTCTAGGGCCTACCGGGGACCACGAGCCAGAACCTGGCCCCCTCAGAGAGGCAAGGGGAGCAATGGCCTATAGAAACCCCCGTGTGGTTGGAAGCATTCTATGTCTGCCATCGACCGGGTCAAGCATCCAGAAAGGTAAGCATTCCAAAACAAACCCCTATTCTGGTGAAAATTGCTACCTAAGCCGAACTAGTGAATAGAACTCTTCAACAGAAAACACGGAAACTAGTATGACGTCATACGTCACCGCGCCGCTGTCTGCGCAGCTCCCCCCTCCCCGGGAGGGGGAAGGGGGAGCCCCAGACCTCCCACGCCGGCTATCCACCCATCAGTTCTTCGGCTGATGCTATAGGCAATGGTTATGTGCTCCGGCTCCAGTGGTTGTTTCAGCACTGTACCTAGAGTGTGGTGTCTGTTTTCTAGGTGGTGCGTGAGCCGGGTGTGATTCTTCAGTACTCGGGCTGCATGCGCCTAGGGTTCCCTTCCCTAGGTGCCCTGTAAGTACTGCCCTTGGGGCTTGGGGCCACCTTCCACAAGTTCCTTGGGTCCTGCCCCTGCTTGGCCGTTTACCGCTTGGTTTTCGGCCGCTCTTTGTGTGCTCGGGTGTTCTGTCTCCCTTGTTCGCCTTAGAGTAAGGGGCGGTGTTTGCACTGGTGGGGCGCGGGGTACTGTGCAGCTTGTCTTTACCAATCATAGCGGCCGGCTCTGTTCCGCTTGGGTACGCTGTCCTCTTGCGGGGTTTTCTTTTTCTTTTGTTTATATACCTGGTGGGGGGGTCTGCCTTCGTTCTTGCCCCTTGTGTCCCTTGTGTTCTGAGTATTTCTGGTGGTACCCCCTGCTAGGTCCCCGTGAGTGTACACGTCCCGGGGGTTCAGCTCTTAGAAAGTTGTTTGGTAGCTTGGGTGCCGGTTAGCAGTACCCTGCCTGGGATTACCTGAGCGCGAGTCCTCTTAAAGTAAACGCTCGGGACCCTGGGAAACCCCTGGGGGCGCGCGGGTCCGATGGATGTGACCCCAGAGCCCCCCCCTCGCTTCCAGCGAGTTTGAGGGTTGCTCTCACCTTTTGTCTCTGGGTGACTCTCTGTTTTGCCTCCGTCTGCTGCCTGTGGGGTCGGTGACACCTTCGACCCGGTGTCCTGCGAGTTTGGTTGCTCGTTGTGGCTCGGTTACCCAGTTGTGCTAACAAAGCGGGTGCGGGCAGCAGGGGCGTTGCACTTGAGCCTTGGTGGTGGCAACGTTCTCGTGGTTTCCTCCCCGGGAGCCCCGGGGCTGCCCCGTTGTATTTCGTTTTGGGACTTGGGGGTGTTGGTTGCATCCACGCCCCCTTGTCTTTCCCCTGGTTCACCCTTCCTGCCTGCATCCGGTTCCTTACCGTCTGTAGGTTCAGGGCGGGGTGTTTCGTGGTGTTGAGACTCGGGCAGTCTCGGGGAATTCCCCTTCCGGGGTAGTGACGGGGGCATTTGGGCCTGTTCCTCCAGCCGTGTTGTATGAGTCTGCCAGTGGGCTCCCTTCCTTAGTGTTTTCACGGCTGCCCCGGTTTTCTGGTACGGCCGGGGCTTTGGGGGAACGGCTCGGCCCCGGGGCCTGTCGTGTAGGTTCCCGGGGCTGGGGAGGGGCTGCCTTGGGGGGGGCCTTGGCCCCGTTAGACCCCGTGGGGGGTTTTATCCCCCTCTAGGCGGGGCTTGTGGTTACGCGGAGTGGGGTCTTTCCTCCCCACTCGCCGTACGTGCTGTTGGACGTCGGCCCCTCCCCGGGCTCGGTTCCTTGGCCTTTGAGTCGGTTGGTTCCGTCCTGTGGGTGGATGTTTCCTCCCCCGCTTTTTGGGACGGTGTTTTTGTCATGTTTCCCCGTTCGTTGGGGTTCTGCGTGACTTTTGATCTCGGGTGCGCCTGCGCCTTCGTGTGCCTTCGGGACTAGTGTTGGCTTCTGTGTTCTCGAGGGTACGGGAAGGTTTTTCGCTACTTCCCGCATTATTGGAACGTCTGTCGGCTCCTAGTACTTGTCGCCCTGTTGGGCTACTTGTCGCCCTGTTGGGCTACTTGTCGCCCTGTTGGGCTACTTGTCGCCCGGTTGGGCTACTTGTCGCCCGGTTGGGCTACTTGTCGCCCGGTTGGGCTACTTGTCGCCCGGTTGGGCTACTTGTCGCCCGTTTGGGCTACTTGTCGCCCGTTTGGGTTCCCTTTTTTTTGGGCTCTTTGCTTCTTTGGCCGGTTTTATTGTTCCTGCTTCCTCTTTTGGCTCCTTTTCTCGTGCAATAGTCCTGGCTGGCGCCTTCCCGCAGGGAGGGTGTGCGGTTCGGCCAGCGTGTTATGCGCATGCGCCGTGGAGTTTGTTTTGGTCTGGGCGATGGTTCAGTGCTGGGGTTTTGCGCCCTTTTTTGCTACAGTGCTTCGCCTCTCGTTCTTCTCCCTGGCTGCGGTATGTGCCCCTTTGCACCAGGGGTGTCCTGGTTCCCAGTTGTGGGGAGGACACCGCGGTTTTCTGTGTCATGGGTGTGGACCGCCTCCTTCGCCTCTCCCTGTTCTCCTGCGGGTCCGGCTCTGGCGTCTTCACCTGGCGGTGCTCCCAAGTTCTTCTGGGCACGGTTGAGTCGTGTCAAGTTCGAGCCACCATTCGCCAGGTGAGTTTCTGCGGTCTGGCGTCTTTTGGCCGGGCGCTGGATGCGGCGGTGTTCATATACCTGTTTTTATTTAGGTATAATTTTGTACGACTGAGACCGTTCGCACACCAGTGACTGTCCCTTTATCACCCCTTCCTGTCCCCCTCATGTGCATGTCCAACCCATGCTGGAGTCATTCAGGGGACCCTCCTTTTTTAATGTTGTGAGGTGTGGGGGTTGTAGGGTTGGTTCTGTACTCACCTGGTGAGGCTCCTGGCTGTGCTTGCAGGATTTGAGCTCTGGCTCTTGGGTCCCGCCTATCTGGTAGAACTTGCGGGATAGTACCAGTGGAGTGCAGTGGTGCTATTGGCACTTTTGGGGAACACTGTATTACCATCAGTGGTCTGTGCTTGTTACACGACCTACTTGCGAGCATAAGCCTTCTTGCTGGTTCGTCCGTGGACTTCCAGGGCGCACTGGCCTGTTTTCGTATGGCAGTTCCGGCCCGTCCTGGTTGTGGGGGTATGTGGGCCGGTGGACTGCTCCTAGCAGCTGCCTGGTGGGCCATCCTCTGGCCGGTCTGGCCTGACCTTGGGCCGGGCTTGAGGTGTAAAAGAGCTCCCAGTACCTCATCCAGCAGGTATCGAGCGGGGTTTTCTCCGCCGTCGGTCGCCTGGTGCAGGTTTCTGGGCCTGCAGGGTTTTGTCGTGTCTCCGTTGGCCCTGTCTGGGGTCTGCCTGCTCCGTTCTCTGCCTTTGCAGAGGGGAGTTGCTATTTACATGTTGCATGTTGCAGTGGTGCCTGTTGCTGCTGCTGCTGCACGTGAGCATTGGTACCGTGTTTCACGGTGGCGTGTCCTTGTTCCTGTGTCCGGTTGTGGAGTGGCGCTTTGCTGCCGTTTTGTGCCTGGGGATTGCGTGGGGTTTTTGTCCCTGCCTGATTGTCCACCCCTGGTTGTTCTCCTGGTTTTTTTTTTTTTTTTTTTGTGCTTCTGCTCTTTCTTCCTGCCTCTTCTGCAGCAGGAATGTTCTGCGTGTGTTCTTAGGCGTTGGTCAGCCTGTGTCCTGTGATGTGCTTCTTTGTCTCGGTCTGTTGCAGTTGTTCGTGCCCCTTGGTTCGGGTCCTGTTCTGGCGGCGACCCTTCCGCCTTCTTTGGTTTTCCTAGCTTGCCCTGCCGGTTGTTGTTGTTTTACTTTTTTTGGGGGGGTTCTTGCGATGTCTCGCGTCGGACCCGTCGTTTCTGAACTCCTGGCGGGCTTGCATGCTTCGGAGTTTTTCTGTTCGGCAGACGTTCCATCTCCTTGTGCCGCCTGGGTTTCGGTGGTCGCGCCCGAGATCTTCTCGCGGCTCCGCCTTTTTCCTGGGCTCGGGGGGGGCCTTGTCGGGGCTGCTTATGTTCTGCCTCGTGGTCTCGCCTCCGGTTGGTGGTCAGGTGGCTTCGTGGTAGGTGTCCCACCTGCGTGCTTTCTTGGCGGCAGTATGGGGTATTTTGGCGGTCCTTCCTTTTCCTGTCCCTTCTTCGGTGGGTCCTTCTTGTTGGCTTGGTTTACTCTCGGCTTGGTTTTCTAGTAGGGGTTGGGGGCCGTCGTCTTGCCACATACTGTCGCCTCTTTTCGTGCGGCGCAGGCGGAGCCGCTTCAGCTTGCTTTCGGTCTTGGTGTTGCTTCTGCACCGTTAGTCAGCTGTCTTGTGCGTCATTTCACCTCCGGCCTGTTCGTGCGCCGCTTGCACCATCCTGGTCTCTGGTCAGCGTGCTCTGTCTTCTCCTCGGTTGGTAGTGCCCCTTCGGTTCCGGTGTGTTTTTTCGTCGGCTCTTTCCTTTGGGCCTTTGCCTCTGGGGGTCGGTTCGCTGTGTTTTCTTGCTCCTTCGGTTTTAGCGTTTTGGTTGTTTGATGGCAGCAGTCTCCATCTTTTCTGGCGCGGGGTGGGGCTGCTGCATTCTGGAGGGGTCCAGGGTTTGTTGGTGCTTTGTTGGTCGGGCCGGGGGTGTGTCGTTTTTGTGTTCAGTGGCGGCCCTCTGCTGTTGTTTGCGTGCCACGGCGTTTGGGTCCGGAGCGCGTTTTGCGTTGATCCGGTTCTGTTCTTCCCGGTTCGCGGGTGATGGTGTCCCGGGTGGTCAGCCGTGTTCTTGCGGCTAAGCTGCCTGTGTTCTTCCCTCATGCCTGTGGCGTTCGTGGCTTCGCTGCTCTCGCTGCCGTCTGGGCGACGTGGCCTTGCAGTCTTTCGGGCATGGATTTTTGGTGTTCGTGCAGGGGCCTTGCTGCTCGTGGTTCTCGTGTTGTTCCCGGGATTTTCGGGGCTGTGGCGCCTTGGGTTGGCGTTTGCTGCCGGTTGTCTCGCCTCCTTGGGGGGTGCGTGGTGTCCGCCTCCCGGTTTTGTCCCTTTGACCTTCCTCTGTGGGTAGTTAGCTCCGGGGAGCCGACGGGGCTCCCCCCAGAAAACCAGCGTTGAATGTAATGAAACGCCATTTTCTGGGTGAGACCCGGAGGCTCCCCGGCAACCCTCCCTCCCTCCGGTCGGCGTTTTTCGCGTGTTTTGACATCCAGCCTCAGAACTGATGGGTGGATAGCCGGCGTGGGAGGTCTGGGGCTCCCCCTTCCCCCTCCCGGGGAGGGGGGAGCTGCGCAGACAGCGGCGCGGTGACGTATGACGTCATACTAGTTTCCGTGTTTTCTGTTGAAGAGTTCTATTCACTAGTTCGGCTTAGGTAGCAATTTTCACCAGAATAGGGGTTTGTTTTGGAATGCTTACCTTTCTGGATGCTTGACCCGGTCGATGGCAGACATAGAATGCTTCCAACCACACGGGGGTTTCTATAGGCCATTGCTCCCCTTGCCTCTCTGAGGGGGCCAGGTTCTGGCTCGTGGTCCCCGGTAGGCCCTAGAACTCCATACACATGACTGATGCCAAAGTCTGACATTAGCATATCAGCCGGTAAAGCTCCGGGGAGCCTCCGGGTCTCACCCAGAAAATGGCGTTTCATTACATTCAACGCTGGTTTTTTTATGTTTTTTGGGGAAAATCAATTGGAAAAGGAAGTCGGTAAATGTGATGGTTAAATTTGAAGCACAGAAATACTGTATGGAGAAATGGGTACAGACATTAATTAGGGAGGCAATGGAGAGAGCCTAGACTTTCTATTACTGTAATGAAGATTTTTTTTGTAAAGTTCTTCCCTCCTGCTTGCTTTGTTTCTTACAATGTGTTAAGTTTTTCATTTTAACTTTGACAGAGTAGTTAAGTCATTATTTTAAATAAAATTCAGAGTTAAGTTTTGGTTGAATAATATTTTAATTTATATTTGAATGCATATTTTGTTTGTAATAATATACTCATTCATTTTAACAAATTTGTTGGATTTTAGTTGTAAAGTATTTAGCTACTCTTGTTCATAAGTTAGTATTCATAGCTGGATATATATATAGTAGGTATAAGAATCTCAAGTTCACAGTAACATAAACCTAAGGATTTAAAACAATAGTTTTTGCAGGATTTGAACAGGGCCAAATATGTGGGTCTAGTCTCCAGCAGCAGCATACCGTACATTGATATCTTCACCTTCAGTTCAGCTCTCACAGATTCTCTCCTTGATCAGTATAGCTTGAATAATATTCAGTTTTAATTGCTAGAGTAGGCCTTTCCTAATTACTGCAGAGATTGTGTTTATTGTTAATGCATTATTGGCAGGTGGAAGATAATGAACCGGTGATTTTCAAGCTAAATCGTTGTCCTATTGTAAGAAGTACATCCATGGTAGCCGAGTTACTTGCCAGGAGAGAACCCCTGAAGGAAGTTAACCCTGCGCCAATTCCTGTTCCACCACCATCCAAATCTTCTGCGAGCAACCATCTTATTTTCCAGTCAAAGGTAAATGTCTTGATTTTGTGTAGTATTAATCCTGGCATTATGTTCATTTTCAGGTCCTTATCCTTGTCTGACTCTTGCCTTCCACTCATCCTGCAGTGTACTTCTGGCCTCTTATTAGTTTTAAAGTTTCATTATTTTACATATAATAGCAGATTTGCTATAAGTACAGTATTTAAAAAAGGTAAGTTTGATGTGATAGATTTATGCAAGACATACAAAATAAACAGTGGGCTTTAATAAAGTTTATGAGAACAGGTGTCAATAAAGAGTGATACAAGATAATGAACAACTTCTCATATTGCAGTTCAAGGTGTTTGTGTGAAATATTGCATATACAATGTATGACAGAATTGAGAATGAAGAGAGAGATTTATTCTAAGGTAGCTTAGAGAATGAGTGGTATAATACCTAAGGGTTATGGAATAATTGTAAACTGTGATCTGAATGGTAAAGTGGGAATAGACTCTATCTTGAGATGATTTCGGGGCTTTAGTGTCCCCGCGGCCCGATCTTCGACCAGGCCTCCACCCCCCAGGAAGCAGCCCGTGACAGCTGACTAACTCCCAGGTACCTATTTTACTGCTAGGTAACAGGGGCATAGGGTGAAAGAAATTCTGCCCATTATTTCTCGCCGGCGCCTGGGATCGAACCCAGGGCCACAGGATCACAAATCCAGCGTGCTGTCCGCTTGGCCGACCGGCTCCCCCCTAAGAGTGACATAATGGCTGGTAATGATGCCTGTAGAATAAATGACAGTGGCTGTAGATTGAAAGATTATACAATAGTGATGCCTAAGAATATACTACATAAATATACATTGTACAAGGTAAAGGTGAAATTTTACTAGAAGAGTTTAACTGATTATTTGCTTGTTGAAAGTATGCTTAGGTATGAGAGTGTAATAGGAATATGTGGAGGTTTGTGCACTCACATTGTCTCGTGTAAGGTAAAATGGTGGGAAGGTATCCTACCCAAGTGAGAGAGAAGTGGTTAATGAATAGAAAAATAAGTTGAGAGTAATAATGGAGAAAGTGGACCTTAGTGCCATGAAATATCTGTACACGATCCTGTACACGGCAAGATGAAAAAGTGGCAAGAGTAGTCGATAGAAAAATTGGGATCAGGTGTTGAAATGCCCTTTTCTGGTAAGCCCTCAGTAGTTCCTTATCCATGCCCCTTTTCCCTTCTTCTGTGGGGGGTGGGGGTAACAGGGGGTTCAAGAGTGAGGGAGAGGGAAGCAGCTTATTTTTTAATGAAATTGAGAGCAGTGGTCTAAAGAAGAGTGACATTATTGAAACCACCTAACCACGAGAATTCAGATGATGATGTTTGCCAAGGATTTATTCAGCATTGTAGCTTTGGGCAGGCATTTGGTGGTTTACCTTGCCTTGTGTTGGTTCTGGGGATCAGTGGCCCTACAACCCAGATCTGACAAGGCATCTTTGTTGGTGGTTTGGTCAACCAGATTGTTGGGTGCAGCTGCTTGCAATCTGATGTATGAATCAGCTATATTAATCAGTTATCCTTTGGAGGTGTTTATCTTCTCTCTTGAACACTGAGGTTGGCTACTTATGCCCTTTAATGTTCAGAGGGAGTGTGTTGGAAGGTCTTGGGCCCTTGATGTTGATAGAATTATCTCTTAGCATGCCTATTGCTCCTCTGCTTTTCATTTTGCACTTTGTCATGCCTCTTAGTCTAATGTGGCATTATTTCTGTATGAAGATTTGAAATCAGTGCATCTAATATTTTCCAAGTGTATATTATTATGTATCTCACCTGTACTCTTGAGAATATTATGCCATTTTAAATATTTTAAGCAGTCCCAATAATTTAAATGTTTTACTGCCTGAATCCACTCAATAAAAGTTTTGTACTTTCTCCAGCTTTGAATGGGGCTGTTAGTGTGCAACAACATTCTACCTTAGAGAGCATTAATGTCTTGAGCATTATCATTGGTCTTGCATCTCTTATTTGAAAGGTTATATTATCCAAGCTGTCATTTTTCTTGCACTTCTGAAAGCTACTTATTCTGTTCTTTAAAAGTAAAGTCTTCTAACATGCACACATTCTGTAGCTGAAAAATGGCATTGAGGACTTTTGTAGTCACCCGGAACCGGCCTTGTTTGTTCAAGTTCATCATGACATAATACAGTACAATACTGTACTGTAGTTACATTTTTCTGCCACTGGGTTGCCAATGCCAGCTAGTGGGGGGGGGGGGGAATACTACATAGATGCACATCAAATAATTGCAAGGTTTAAATTTGTTGAAACATGTATTATGTCGTCTATATAAAATAAAATGTACTTTGTCAAAGAAGCCATGTATATGCCTGGGGTACAACTTTCCGACATTAAACTTGGGAGTATGAAAATGTCATAGGCCAGTTAGGGTTGGCCCAAGTGCCACCTTTTAATAACATTGCTGTATGTAGTGAGTCTGCAGTGTATGGTAGACAAGTATGCTTATCTGTATAAGAATAGAAACAAGTGTCCAAAACTTAACTTTTAATTTCCACTTTTCTTCCCCAGCGAGGCTCTTTCTTATCTCGAGACAAGAATACACTAGCCCGTATTGCTGAACTGACCAAAGATAAAGGGAGTGTTGTTGGTGGAGCTAAGCAGGCAGGTAACTTTGTTTTCCAACAGCTGTCTGCCAAGGAAAAGCAGGAAAAAGAAGAATCTACAAAGTTGAAGAGCACTTCAAATGCACCGATTTCTAAAAAACCGAGACCTGATAGATGCTTTTTTAGTATGGATGTCTCGAGCCAGTCATCGAGTATATTTAAGCATTTTTAGTTTATACTGTGTATAGTATTAATTTTGTACATTATTAATCTTTTTGAAGATTAAAGACCATATTGAGAAGTGAATGCTGTGCACCAATTAGCCCAACAATTATAAAATATTAAAAAATACTGAGAATAATTATAATGGTGATTAATCCAAACCTGCTTGTCAAATAATTTGACAAACATTAAGGACCAGAATCCCATTCTCATAAAGCAATTTTAAGAAATAAACTCATAGCAATAAGAACCCATTTAATGGGAAAATTTATATTAAAAACACCAAAGTTTACAAGATTAACAACAAGCAGCATGAAGCTACACCATATGCGTCAGTTCAAAAATTGTCTTGCACATTCTTCATGGTAAGCTTGTACAAACCTTAAAGCTGTCTCCTATAATCTAAGTACAGTATTAAGATAAATTTTGTGATGGTTTAAGTTGAGAAATAAGGCCGTTTATTAGTCAAAACTGATGGCACTGCAGACCTTGATAGTTAAGCAACTCAAATTTTTTTTTTTTTGTTACACGAGAGTAATTTAAGAGAAAGGTTTAGCTTTGAAAATATATGAAAATATTGGGGCACTGTGATTTATTGGTTAGGGCATTTCTCCTTATAAGCAAAAGACATTGAGATTAAATTCTGGGCATTTTTTTAACTACTGGGTGCTAAAGGATTCTATTATAGGACCTGGATGTAAAGCAATTGATAGATCATGTTCAATTGAAAATACCACTGAATAAACTAACCAATTGCAGTACCTGGATAAAAAGAATTTTTTTTTCCAAAAATGCATGTAATTTTTTAAATGCAATCCATAATTTAGTTTTACTGATAAGCATTTGATTAATTCAAGGTGTTTCTAAACAAAACAAAAAAAGTTATGATGTGTTTCACTAATACACTTGAAAGAGTAAAATATCTATAGAATTTAAATGTACAATATTATCATTCTTAAAATACAGATTTTGTTTTGCCATTTGCATCTGAATAGTTAAATAATGTTATTTCTCATATTAGGCAAGCATGCCTTCTTATGTGACATTTGCCCACTTGACTTGGATTGCCTTAAGATTATTCCAACAAAATGTTAGCAGTTAGGGTCAAAGTTGTATAAAGAATGAAAGTTTTTGTAATTGTAATGTTATGGTGATGTACTGGGATGGTGCGGAACACTGTAATGGATGTGGTAGATTTTCAGGGGCTTGCAATTCATTTACATATATATATATATATATATTTATTTATTATTAATGCTTTAAAACAATGTATAGTACTACTATTCTCAAATGAAACAGTTTTTATGTTTACAATTTTATTTAATTTTCTTGCTGCAAGTATGATGTAGCAGACATTACAGCAATCAATAATTATTTTTGTTATGCATAAATATTTTACAGTATAATTAATTTATTAAAATAATTTGTAGTCAACTGACACAGAAAATAATAAAGTATTTCTTTAATAGTATGCAGTTTGTTACTTGTAATACCTCCAATGGTTGCTGATCGTGTCATGAATGACAAGGTAAAAATTCAAGTAAAGAATTTGTTCCCAAAAGATAGAAAATATGAACAGCTTATTTAGCAAAGACAACAATATGAGAGAGAACCCAGCAAAATTTGTCTGTCATATCTGCTAAAGATCAGGAACTGTCAGTGTTGCATTTCAATCACCATGGAATCTCATGGAATAAAAAACTCCAGGGTCATGAAAGCACCACATGAGTCAACTACAATAAAACAAAAAAAAATGTTGATGCATGTAAGAGTTTTCCTTAGAGTAATGAGGAACTTTATGCAATTTTATATAAAGATATTAAGCCTATGGGGAAAGGCGAGACAAAGGTATTCATACTTTAAACAAGGCTTCATGGCCGACGCTCTCCTTACCGATATGGGAACTATGACCTTCCGAAGATCAATGTTAAATTAATCTAGATATTGTAATAAACGAAGTTTTCTATGTCATCATAAAGACATAAATATAAGCTGCATGTTAATACTTTGGCATAAATATAACTGAAGTGAAAGTGAAGATATATGCCTTTTTATAGTTACTTGATGGCTCGCTCAGGGAGTGTGAAGGCCTCCACACAAGCCAATCAATTTTATAATTACTTTGCATATATGCAAAGTAACGCCATAGGTCTTTATGTCAGAATAAAGACATGTAGACGATAATGTAACTACATTTCAAGGAAAACATATCTTAATATAATTATTAAATGAATGCAAAGTTATGGTTAAATAAATAGCCAATACCACACAATCGCCGGTGTCCGGACACATGAATAGTCGCATTAGGTGAAAGGAAATGTACCCAACCATTTCCATTTACCCAACCAGTTTGTGCACCCTATACTCATCCTCTGTGCGGTAATTTATTGTGCACCCCATACTCATCTTGTTACCAGTAGTTTGTGCAACCCATACTCATCCTGTGACCCGTAATTTATTGTGCATCCCATACTCATCCTGTTACCGGTAGTTTGTGCAGCCCATACCCATCCTGTGACCTGTAATTTATTGTGCAACCCATACTTATCCTGTGACCTGTAGTTTATTGTGCAGCTAATACTCATCCTGTGAGTCATAGGACATTGCGCAACCCTTTCTCATCGTGTGAATCTTTGTTTACTTTGCTCTCCATATTCATCCTCTGCGCGATAGTTTCTTGTGCAACCCATACCCATGATGTGAGTGGTAGTTTATTGTGTACCCTATACTCATCCTGTGAGTATAGGGTACACAATTCTTGTTTGGATTCTTGTAATGTTATTTGTCTATTTGTACTCACAGCATTTGTGCGCCCCTTGAGGGACTTGAATTAGAGGGGGGTTGAAATAGCCTAAGCTACTCTATCCCTTTGAGATGTATTTATTGCTTATCTCAATAAACATACTTGAACTTGAACTTGGGTACACAATGAGTTCATTTGTACTCCATACTCATCATCAAGAAGTGTATTTTACCAGCATTGTAATATAAATTAAGAATAAAAGCTTAACTGGATTACGGACCCATAATCAAAATAAGAGCCATCACTAATTATCATGACAAATTGTCTAGGCTACACTTCCGCCTTCGACAAGCTGCCGCCGGAGGTGGGTATAGTTTATTGTACACCCCCGCACCCCCAGTCCTGGAAGGGCGGGCATTGGGATGTGGACATGTGTACTGTCTCAGACCCTGTTGGAATATAACCAGTCTGTCAATCGGGTCAACCCAAGTGTTGCGTTTCCATGCGTTTCCAAAAGGGTCGCCCATGTTGGAATCGGTGAACGCCCTAGTAATATTGTTGAAAACATCTTAATAACTTATTAAACCAAAGGTCTTTTTATGTCAGAAGAACGGCAGAAACTAGATCTATATATGAAAACTCTTTCAGGACAAAATTTAAAGTAAAACTAGATTATGTAAAACTAGATTAAAGTAAATTATGTTTCTATCTTTCTTGAGACGTATAAAAATCTTACGTTTATTAACGATTCTGCGTGAAATAAGCATTGTTCTGAGATGAATATTGCGGATTTCCGGCTCTACGACCGATGAAAAATGCAACTTTTATACAACTACAAATATCTTTAGTTTTACTTTAAATTTTGTCCTGAAAGAGTTTTCATATATAGATCTAGTTTCTGCCGTTCTTCTGACATAAAAAGACCTTTGGTTTAATAAGTTATTAAGATGTTTTCAACAATATTACTAGGGCGTTCACCGATTCCAACATGGGCGACCCTTTTGGAAACGCATGGAAACGCAACACTTGGGTTGACCCGATTGACAGACTGGTTATATTCCAACAGGTTCTGAGACATTTACACTGGCGGGCGGCGTTCTTGCCAACTAGTTAAAATTAATAAATACCGAATAATGTTAACCTAATCAGTTATTGTAGGAAAAAGCTATACAAGGTAGGTTAGGATGTACAGAAATGAAAATTGGCTTATAGATAGAGCTAGTACATACAATTAAAGCCACTAGGTACTGCGTTTCGGGGCGGCGTTCTTGCCAACTATATGGCTGTTAAGTTGAAAATTGTAACTGTTAAGAGCATTCTATTGTGGTTTTAATATTGAACAATTATACATATACGAAACAGACAAATCTGGTGTCCGAAATAGTAAAAATATTAGTGTGCGATGTGATCAATGTAAGGGGGATATTGGGTGTGCCTCGTATCCCCTACAACAACAAGAAGTTCGAGAGCGATGAGGCCGCCACCTACTAGCTTCAGGATGTCGTCGAATCTAAATCAACAATATACTACCGCCGCTACTTTCTCGGAAACGTAAGTACCTGCCGCTTTACTTCTCTCACCCTGCCTAGCCTGGCCTGGCCTGACCTGGCCTAGCCAGACCTGACCAGACTGACCTGGCCTAGCCTACCTAGCCTAGTCTGACCTGACCTAGCCAGACCTGCCTAGCCTGACCTGGCCTAGCCTGACCTAGCCTAGTCTGACCTGGCCTAGTCTGACCTGACCTGGCCTAGCCTTACCCAACACTAATCACCACACGTGACAGCCCAAACGAATCGCAAATAAGTACACGTAACAAGTCATATGCCCGGACACTCTTTCACCTTGGGGACTGAGTGGTAACTATTGTATAGAAGAGCCGGCTCCCTGAGAGTGGTAAGAGGGCGTGATAAGAGGCTAACGTGTGGTCTTGAAGGAAGTCGATAAAGCAGACAATTTTCAAAAGGAAGGGCAGCATAACGAGCAGACAGGAATGGACAGACAGTCGGTTATCCCATAATGTGTAATACGCCCCGCACAGCATGGGTGGAGTGGGGGGGGGGGGTTGTAGCAGGGCACAGTATGGTGATGGTGCGGGTGAAGTACACACCCACTGAATTCCTGCCATCAATAATTGTTTTCATAACCATTAGAACAATGGCATCCCTCCAGCCACCATCCTTCCACTGACCCCCTCCTCTGGTCCTCCACCTCAGACAATAACCCCCCACACCCCCTCTCCCTTCCAGACATCAGCATGTCAAAATCAGTACCATAATGTGTTTAAACTATTTAAACTAAGTCATTGTGTATCTCAAGGTATCTTAATTCATTTGAAAGTGTACATGTGCATTCGTTCATATACTCGCCTAATTGTGCTTGCTGGGGTTGAGCTCTGGCTCTTTAGTTCCACCTCTCAACCGTCAATCAACAGGTGTACAGGTTTCTGAGCCTATTGGGCTCTATCATATCTACACTTGAACCTGTGTATGGAGTCAGCCTCCACCACATCACTTACTAATGCATTCCATTAGATATAATCATATATGATTACACATAATCATAATCATTCCATACACATAATCATATATGTGTACGTCAACGTATACATACATGCGTATATATACCTCATATTAAAATACTGATAAACGAATGACCATGAACAAATTAATTTATAATTGTAGCACTATATATAATTTTAATAGACTAATTACGTGTTTATACATTTGAATGGTCCAGACAGGTGGCCAGCCTTGGACATATACACTTCTGGTAGGCACAATGACCTCATGTTAGACCCTTGATAGATTATGTGAGAGAGAGAGAGAGCTGGGGCAGGGAGGTGCGTGCCCCAGGGAGATAATCCATGCCCATGCCCCGCCTCGAGGTCAGTTCTCGAGTCACACCAAGAATAACAATCGAGCAAGTTGTCCTGACCAGGATGTGGCATATTAGGGAGGGTTGAGGAATAGGAAGCCTGTCTGATAGGGCTCTTGGCAAGCAGCTCTCCCTCAGTCTACCTATCTATATGGAAGAAATGTATCTAGGCCCTCCTCCCCCCTGCCTATTCTCTCTCCCCCACCTTTCTTCCTTCATTTCCTCCCTCCTTCCCTCCCCCTCACTGGTGAGAGAGTAGGAGTGTGAGAGTGGTTAGAGAACTCGTAGTTCTCACGCTCGTGAAATTGTCTGCGACCCTGGAGGAGTAGAGCGGGGGGGGGGGGTGAAAGTAGGTGACGATGGAGGAGTAGAGGGGAGCATTATATGCAGTGAACGTAGGTGTCTATGGAAGAGTACATCATAGAGGAGGGTGAAAGGAAGGTGACGATGGAGGAGGAGAAGGGAGGGGGTGTGAAGGTAGGTGATGATGGAGGAGTAGAGGGGAGGAGGGGGGCAAAGGTAGGTGTCTATGGAAGAGTACATCATAGAGGGGGGTGAAGGTAGGTGGCGATGGAGTAGAGCAAAAGGGGTGGGGGTTGAAAGTAATCCTGAGTTTAATTTTTTAGTTATATATAGTGACACCTCGGCTTACGAATGAATATTTATGAACTTTTCGGGTTACGAGCCTAATTTCTTCGAAAAATTTGAATCGGGTTACAAACTTTGCCTCGGGAAAGGAGTTTGTTGATATACGTATGGGCTGACCTAGCGCGTGGTGGCATGGTGATCGCGCCTCAGTTTACCAGTGTCTCCTGCCTAGTAAGTATCGCGCCTGAATTCTTTGTAAAGCA